ATCACCACGATGTGGCATATCAGCCACATTAATTCAATCAAATTTGGCTTATTTATTTGGTGGAGTTTTTGATGAAGAAAATGAAGAAGAACTCCATGGAATATTTTACAATGATTTATTAGTTTTAGATTTGGAAAAATTTCAATGGCACATAGGTAGGTATATTAATTATTTTAATATTATGATTAAATTAAAAAAATAATATGTTATTGGTTAATATCAGTAACATTAAATGGAAAAAAAAATATAAGTACACAACATCGAAGAAGAAAACCGAAGGAAAAAGAGCAACAAGATGATTTGATTGAAAATAAAGATGACAATAATGAAGAAATGCAAGAAGCATCCTCTATTTTTATTAATTCTACAGTTGTTGATAATGATGGAATATTTACAGTTACAATAGGACCAACACAAAAAACTACTGTTGATAAAAAAGAAAACATATATAAAAATATGTTCATTCCATGTCCACGAATAAATTGTGGACTTGCTGTAAAACATAATGTTTTATATTTATATGGTGGTATGTTTGAAGATGGAAATCGACAATATACACTTAATGATTTTTATAGTTTAGGTGTGTTTATGCTTTAGTATATGCTTAGATAGAATTTTATAAAATGACAATAAATGTTATATTTAGTTATTTTTATATTTTTAGATTGTCGAAAATTGGATGAATGGAAAACAATATTAGAAGATGATTTATCTTCCCAAACTTGGTATGATTCTAGTGACTCGAGTACAGATAATGAAGATATAGATACAGATGATAACAATGAAAATGAAAATGATCTTATAGATATGCAAGTGGATGAATAATGAAAAATAATAATAAATATATATTATGAAATAAAATGAATTGAATATATTATTTTTTAAATTATTTTTATAATATTTAAACTTATATAAAGAAAAATATTTTATATAATATTTTATTAAAAAAAAAAAAAAATACTTATATATTATAATATAAAATAATAACATATATATATATATGTATTAGATATAGAATTTGATTTAATGTCTTTATATCAAATCATTTATAATTAATATAATTTTGATTTAAATGTAAATCAAATATCCTATTTGACGAAATATAAAAAAAGTTTTATTATAAATTATTTTAATTTTCAAGCTATCAATATAAATCATTATCAAATATCAATTGATTCTTAAAAGCAATCAACTTGAATGGATGAAACAAATTTTTTAAGTTTTATGAAAAAAAAAAAAGAAAACAAAAAATAATTTATTTCTTACATCAAGAAATTCTCCTGTATGTGAATCATTTTTCTAATTTGACTTTATTTATAATTATCCATTATTTTAATTAGATATCATACCGGTATTATTTATTATTAATTTTTTATTTTTAAACAAGGATTTAAAACCGAAGTTTTAAAGATATAGTAAAATTGATGTATATATGATATTGTTATGATATCAAAACTAAAATAATATGTCTTTACAATATGTTTGCAAATGAAAAAAGGAACATTATGATTAATGATATTCCAATGATTGTCGGAATGTAGCAAATTGTTAATTTTATATTTTAAATGTTACAACATCATTTTTATTTTTCTAATTAAAAGATGTACTAGATATATAAAATATTATATAAATATTTTATGATTGAAATAAAAATTATTGTACACATGAATCAAAATTATAATTTGTACAATATTATTTATGTGTAGTAAAATCCAGAAATTTTTTCTAGATTATATTATTTTTTTTTGTGTGAAATAAAATAATAATACAAAAGAACTTATATTTAAATTAAAAAAAATTTTATTTTTTATACTGTTTCATAATTATTGAAACTTGATTAAGATTTCGAAAAAATGAATTAAAAAAAAATTATAAATTTTTATAATAACTTTTTTCTGATCACATAAATAATTGATAAATCTTTTACTGAATGATAGTACTTATTAAAAGAACTTTTATTTCAAAATTTCTTCTCTATCTTTTGAATCATAACACAACATCGAAAAAATAATCGATTTCCATTCATTTGGAGTTAATTTTGCCCTTTTAAAATTGAATAGCAAAAAAAAAAATTACGTAAGACATATTTAGACATGCATTATATATCACCAAAGTTTCGAAATTTTTTGAATTTGCAGATTGAAAATCTTGTTAGTAATGTCATCAATGCTGAGAAATTATTTGTATCTCTTAAATTTATTTTATCATCATTAAGATATAATTTATTCGATATTGTTAATAGTATTGTTGTTATTCGATATTATTAATATTTGACAATATTTTACAATTCAACAAATTGTAAATTTATTGTATTATTACAATACAAATATACAATTACAAAATTGTATATTTATAAATTTCTTATTTTATTATTTTTAAATTATTTTTAATTATTAAGGGGAAAAAAAAGTCTTAGTTTTAATTCTTAATAATTTTGTGATTGTGAACGACATATTTCACATGTTATTAATATTGTATTTTATTAGTAAAGATTATAATAAATTTTATTACATTTTAGTAAGATAAATTTAAATTTTATTAATATTATTAATGTTAATATTATTAAATTTTATTAATATTAATATAAACTTTGTTCTTATTAACTATTATATGTAACAATTATATTTGATAAATAGATATTATTATTATTATTATTATTAATAAAACTTACTAATTTTATTAAATTTACTATTAATTTTAAATTAAATTTTTATTAATATTAATTATTAATCAAATATGCAACATATCTCATTCTGTAATATTGTGTAAGTGACATTATATCATGAGATATTTCGTTTATATCGCGAAGCGATTAAACGATATTATTATCCTTCATAATAGAAAAACCGAAAAAAAAAATTATTTTACTTTGATTTTTAATAATATATCGGTTTCAGTATAGCTTTTTTAGTATTTAAGGTATTAAAGTATTCAAGATTATATTTTAAATTATATATCAAAATTATATATCATCAAAATCATTTATTTTATTTAAATCATTCAAATAATATTTTTAAAGATTAGAAAAAAGTATTGATAACTTTATTAAAAAACTCGAAAATTATGTAAAAAATGAAACGAAATCACAAAAATAATGATAAATATTTCAAAGAATTATACAATTTTTTTTTTATATAAATAAAAAATTTTTTATATAAATAAATGGTAATTTTATTTTAAAAAGATACTAAATTAATTTTTAGATCTATATATATATATATATATATATTATCTATTTTATATAATTTATTTATTAGTAGATTTTAACAATAATAGTTTTACAATATAAATAATTTAAAAACTGTGGATCATTTTAAATGATTTATTTTTAAATTCACAAAAGCAACATTATTTTGTTAATTCAATAAATTGATAAATTTTATAGATAATATAATATAAATAGTTTTTAAACAATATTATAAGTTACTTAATTCTCTTTGAATTTGTTCTAAAGATTTTCCTTTTGTTTCAGGAACTAAAAAGTATACAAAGAAAGTTCCAATAAGACAAATTACAGCAAATAACCAAAATATAGCAGCAAGACTAATTGAAAAATCACTGAAAAATTTAGTTACAATAAAAACTAATATCCAATTAAAAAGACAAGCACTACTTGCAGCTACATCCTTTAGTTCTGGTGCAAAAATTTCACCCATCATCATCCATGGAAGTGGACCAAAACCCACATTGAACATAATAATAAAAATACATATAGAAACTAAAGGTAACCATTTAATTGAATGAACATCTATTTCATTTTCTGAAAGATAGAAATAAACTCCAAGTGCACAAGATGTTAAGCATAAAAATATTATAGATATCAATAATAATACTCTTCTACCTGCACGATCTACTATTAATGTGCTTACAAATACAGCCAAAACTTGCATTACACCTACTATAATAGTCGAATAATCAGAATTTAAACCAGTATTAGCTTTTTCAAAAATATTCTTAGAATAGAATATAACAACATTAACACCACTTAATTGTTGAAAAAACATTAGACCATAAGCAATTATAAAACTTTTTAAAGTCGTTTTAGATTTAATTAAAGTCCAAAAAGAAATCGAATTTTTATTAGTTTCTTTTAATGCATCTTTTTGACTTTGTAATTCATTTTCTATATTATATTGAATACCACGTAGTTTGATTAAATTTTTTCTAGCAAATTCTTCATTGCCTTTTTTTAAATAATAAGATGGTGATTCTGGCATAAACATAAAAACTACAAAAAAAATAAATGGTACAAGAGCAGATATAATAGACAATATTTGCATATTAACAAAAGTTCCTAAAATATATGATAAAAGAATGCCTGTAGTAAGAAGTAATTGAAAATATGATCCAAGAGTTCCACGAATCTCATTTTCAGCTATTTCTGCTGTATATATTGGTGCTACTACACAAAAACCTCCACCACTAAGACCAGTAATGAATCTACCAATATAAAACATAATCACAGAGTTGGCAAAAATTATAAGCAACCAGCCTATACTAAAAGGTATCACCATCAAAAGCATTGAATATTTTCTTCCTATTATATCAGCAAGAATACCAATAGGAATACATATCACGGCTGAACCTATTGCAACTAGTGAACTAATCCATGAAAATTCATCTTTAGATATATGTATTTTATATAAAGATTCTAGATTTTTGCCATCATCACCAGCAGAAGAAGTCCATGCTAATGTCATTCCAGCTGCTAAGGCTCCAAGTGTTGATGCCAAACTAGCAATATATTGAACTAGTCTGTTAGTTGATATAACTTGATTTCCAGTATTGGAAATTAAAGTCTGTTGTGAAATTCCAAAACGATTCTCATTCATTTTCTTGAAATTATTTCAATAAATAGCTAAAAATAATTAATTAATTTTATTTTCTGTAAGACTTTTTAAACAATTGTTAAAACTTATTGTATATTTGCTAGAAAAATAATATAATTTAAAATTTGCATTTATTGAATTATTAATAAAGAAAAAATTACTTGTATTTTTAATTAATACAATTCTATAAATGAATTTCTAAACTATAAACTTTCAATTTGACATTCTAATAATTCTTATAATAATTCAAAATTATTAAATTTACTTTAAAATTATAATTTTTGCACTGTTGCAACAAGTATGCAATATAATCAAATAAAAAAATTTAAAATCCTAATGAAATAAAAAACTTAATGAAACATTTTAAATATTTTAAACAGAGAATAATTACTTACATTTTATTTCAATTTAAATCTATTACTGGTAGAATTTTATTTATATTAAATTAAATATTTTTTTTACATATAGTATTATCTACTATTATTATTATAAGTAATGAAACAAAATATTTCTTATTTTTTTAATATGATTTGCACTATTATATATTGCACATATATTGTAAATAAATAAAATTAGAAAAAATTTAAAACTAGAAAAATTTAAAAAATCAATTTAAGATAAAAATGTTTTTATGCTTATCTGTTTTAAATTCGATTATATATGATTTATAGTAATGATATCTTGATGATTTACCTTAATATTTCATATCAATGATATGACTGGATTAAAATTAATCTTGATCGAATTAATGTGATTCGTCTATCGCATTAATGTGATTCGTCTATCGCATTTGTTAAATATGAAGTTCTTATCTATATTTTCTTTATTCTTCTTAGATTATAATATTTTTAATCTTTCAATTTTTACCAAATTTTTTATTCTTTAAATATTATTAAATATTTAAATATATAATTCGAAATTACATTCTTTAGAACATTGAAAAATTTTATATAATATTATTCTATTGTAACTTGGTAAAATATTTCCTTACTAGAACTTTGTACCTTTGTATTCATTTATGATAACATAATAATTATTTTACCTTATCTTATACATTCATTAATTTTTTAAAATGTTTGCAAAGTAAGTAACACTCTTTTTATGCTATTTTTTAATGTTGGAAAATCATGATTAGTTTTTTCTAATGTACATTTTAAATATTCTCTGCAATAATGTTCTCTTTGCAAATTTTCTTCAATTATATTTTCGTTTTTATAAATCATTTTATATATACCATTTTTTATATCATATAATTGTTTTACTTTCCTTTGCTTAAGAACTAAACTATGTAAATTCTAAAAATTAAAAAGTAATATTAAAAAAATTATAAAATAATTTTAATGATATGATGTATCTAAAAACATACATGATATTTTAATAATTCCATTTGTTCAATTTCGTTTTCTACAGTTTGAACATGTATTTTTAGATTTTGTAAAAATTCTTGACATTTAATTAATTTATCCTGAATGCTTGTTATTTGAATTTTTAATTTTTCTATCATATTACCCGTTTGTTTTGTAATCTGTTAATAATAAAATATATATAATAAATATATAATAAATATATAATTTATAAAATAATAAAAATAATTTATAAAATAATAAAACATAATAATCTTATAGAAATTAATTATTTTAATTTACCTTTAAAAGTTGTTTGATTTTTACTTTTTGATCAGATAAACGTTTATACATTATAATCTTTTCATTATGTTTTACTTTTGGATTCTTTTTAAGTTTACCAAACATTTTGTCAACTATAATATCTCTTCTTGTAATGCAAAGATTCATATCATGAATTAATTTTTCTTGAATTTTTTTTAAATAAGAAAGTCTCATTTCCATTCTATGAATTTCACTTTTCATTGAAGCTATACCTCCAGTACTTGATTCTTCTTTCATATTTTTAATCGTATCTTGTAATAATTGTACCTTAATTATATTAATATTATAACAATTATAAAAAAATAAGTGATACAGTGAAAAAAATAAAGTATAAATTACCTTTTTTTCCCATGCTAAACTTTCTTGTTGTGCAGAATTTAATTCTTCCTTAAGTATAATTTTCTCTGTACATAAATTTTTTAAATCACTTTGTATTTTTATAACTTCTAATTCTAATTCTTGAAAAGATAAAAGACATTCATTCTTCATTATACAATTTTTATCTTCCAATTCCTTTTCTAAATCTTTTTGTACTACTAAATTTGAATTCATGCGGGATAATTTTTGATTAAGAGAAGTTATAATTTTATTTACATTTGCTTCTTCCTTTATAAGCATTTCTAATGCATATTCCAATTTAAAATTTTTTTGTCCTATTATCATAATTTCCTTTTCAAGAAGATTTAATTCTCTTAACTGTGATTCTCTTTGTTGACTTAATGAAACGAAAAAACCTTGTTGACGTAACCAAAATTGTTGTGCTTTTTTAATATTTTGTTGAAGTTCTTGAATATTTTTTTCTAAACTAACAATTTTTAAGTCTTGTGGACTCAATTCTTCTCCGCCAATACTTGGTAATATCTAAAATTATTTATGTTTAAAATTATTTATGTAAAATTATTAATTATTTATTATATATAAATATATAATTTGTAATTTGTAATAATAAAATATAATCAAATTTATATAATAAAATATAATCAAAATATATTTTGAATTAAAAAATAAGAAAAAAATGTACAACCTGCTCAATAAGTTTATTTATTCCAAGAAGTTTTGTTTGTGATTTTCCTATCATTGCTTCATATTTTTTTGTCTCCTTTTGTAATTCATCTATTTGTTTTTCTTTCCCAGTATTCTTCTGTGTCAATTCCAATAATTCTGTTTTTTTAATTCAATGAGATTTTTAAGTTTTTCTAATTGTAAGAGATTATTTCCATATGTATTTTCTATACGTGCAATTGAAATTTCATATTCTAGTACAATATTTTTTGTACTCATTAATAATTCATTTATATATTTAGTTGTCTTATTGCATATAATTTTTTCTTCCAGTTTTTCAAATATTGTTTTTTCTAAATTATTTTGTTTTTGAAAAGTAGTTTCAAGCTTTTTATTACTTGTTCTTCTTCATAAAGATAATTTTGATATTTCTGAAATTATATCAGTTTATAATAATAGTTGTAATATTTTAATTTAACAATTATAACATATTTAACATACACTAAATATAACATTATAATCATATTCTGTTTGTTCATTAATTTTAGTTAAGTTTAATAATTCTTCTTTATTTTTTGCAATTTTTTCATTGTACATTGATATTGCTCGTGATGTAATTTTAATATTATTTTCTATTCGAAAGTTCCATGATGTCAAATATTCATTATTTTCCATTTCTTTTTCTATTTCTTTATTTACTTTTTGTATTTCTAATAATAATCCATTGTATAACTTATGTGCTTCTCTAAAAAAATTAATTTTTTAATAAATTAAAAAAATATAAAAAATATAATTCATATGAATTCGTTTTTTTCTATGAAAAATTCAATATGAACAAAAAAGACAATAAATTTAAAATAAATAAAAAATTATTTTAAATGTATATACAATAAACTCCTACATACTTAGCATTGCTTTAAATAGCTAGTTAAAATATGACCATATTATGATATTACTAACAATTATTATAACAATTTTTATATTTTATTAACATATTAATAATATTGTACTATATTATATTTACATTTTATATATAATTAAAAAATATTAAGATACATATTTATATCTTATTTTATTTTTAAAGGAGTATATTGTATATAATACACTTGTATATATACTTATAATTTTTTTTTACTTTTATTTTTTTTTAATATTTACTTTTGTTCAAAATATAATTGATCATGAATATTACTTCTTTTAGAAATATTAGTTACTACAGATTTCCATATATTATGTAAATCTTTATGTTCTGTATGCAGAGTTTCTAAATCTGTATTTGCATCAATTATCATTTTATTAGCATCTTCTTTTTCTTTGTTTTTAATTTGTAATTGCTCATCAAAATAAGCTATTTCTGATTCAATTTTCCATATTTCTTCTTTTAATCGATATAATATGAAATCTCTTTGTTGTTTTTTATTAATCAATATCTTATTTCTATTAATATCTTGTAATGACAATTGTTTAGATATAATTAAATGATTATTTAATTCTTTCTCCCATTTAGACAAATAAGAATGAAATTCCAATAAATTTTTTAATTTTTGAGATAGTTTTTCTTTTTTATCTTTTTCTTCTTTCAATTTTGAATAATTTTGTTTTAGAATTTCTTTAGCATTTTCTATATTATTATTTTTTTTTCTCTCTCAAAAATGTGACTTTTGACAATGCTTCTATATATTGTTGTAACATTGTATGTTGACGTTGAACATCTTGTTGCATTTGATAAAGTTGTATAGCTTCTGATTCTAATTCTTTTTCTGCACATTTTATTGATGTTTCCTAAAAATATATAAAAATATTTTATGAAGATATATTTTTGTTTATATTTAAACATAAATATATACAAAATATAAACAAAATCCCTATCAATAAATATAGTAAATATAATAGTAAATATAAAATAGTAATATAAAATATATAAAAAAATATATTATTTTTATCATATTTTTATATTCATTTACTTACAAGATTGAGTATTTCTTCTGAAAGTTTATTATCAACATGCAATAAATGTGTATGTAGTGTTTCTTGAAATTTTTTCATCAAATTATCATTTGGATTCAGAATATGTAATGTAGTTGCCATAATTCAAACACAATTTATTGTGCTCTATTATGAATTTTTTAATTACTTAGAAACTGTTTTTTAAAAAAAATATTTTTTATCTTTTTTATATATTCACTTAAATAGAATTAATCTATATATGTATATATGAAATGTTTAATCTTCTTCTTTAAACTTTTTCTTGCAATACTGAAAGATTTATTTATGTTTCAATTTTATGGTAACCATATTAACAGTCGCGAAGTAAAAAATAATAGAAAGAAAACTTACAATATTTTTATTTTTATCAAATTTTTTCTCTTACTATTTAATTTTTTAATTGATATATATTTTATTATAAAAAATGCTATTTTATTAAATAATCATTTATTAAACATCATGTTCTAAAATTATAATTTATGTAATGTAATGTATATATAATTATTATAATATATACATGGTTTAATAATTATCAAAAATTTCATCAATATTTTAAGTTTTGAAATTGCAAGAAAGTTTGAAAGTTTATAAATTATATATTTCCCAGACAACATACAATATCAAAAGTTTTAATCAAAATATTTTTTTTTTAAATTTAGACTTTTTTTATATATTTTTTTAAATTTTATCGAATAAAATCTAAAAATGTCGATAATTATTATAATTCATTGATTTAAAAAATTGTATATATGTAAATTTTACAGGCAAATAATATATAATAAACAATAAATTATATATATAAATATTTATTAATACATATACAATATACGATTTACAAATTTATTTTTTAAAAATCATTTTGTTCGTTATCAATTGCATATTTCAAAAAATAATTAATAATAATTAATTCTTCTATTATTCGTTTTTTATATATATATTAAATAATTCTAACATATTTTTTATTATTTTATATATTTTGAAATTCTTGTTATATTCTTATAATTTTCACTTTCATATTGTTTCTGTTTTTAATCTATTTAAAAATTTTTTTTTATGTAGTTAAAAAATATATTTCTATGTTTACATTAGAATGCAATAATGTTAATATTTTAAAAATCAACTCTTCTTTAAGATTCTTAATCATAATTTTATTCTCAATCAAAAATTTTTTTTTATTATTATTTATTTTTTATTTATCTATATTTAATTATAATTCCTTTTTAAAAAAAATAAAATAACAATGACAACACTATTCATTCAAATCTAAAGCACTTTGAAATTTGTTTTATTTAATATATATTCTAATAACTTTATAATTTCTTTTCATGTTTATTCAAAATTGTTTCAAAAATGTTTATTCATAATTGTATTCAAAATTATTTTTTAAAACTTTGTCAAATATTGATTATAAACTTAAATAAATATAAAAATTTCTTTTTAAATAGTAGTATTTTAAAAGCAATTTAATATAATTAAATTAAAAGATATTAAATATTAAAAATTATATTCATTTAATTTTTTAACCAGTTTTTGAATATAAAAAAATTTGATAAATTTTATTTTTTCATTGTTTTTAACTGAATTTAAACTCTTAATTTTTTTTATTTCTGAAGCTGGTAATAATGGATTTTAAGGAAAATAGATTTTTTCATTGTTGATATTAATTTTATATAAATCATTTATTATACAGAATTTTTTAAAAATTTTTAATTATTTAAAAAAATTCTAAAATATTCAAGAAACAAAATATTAAAATTGTATTACTATACTTTGAAATTATACATTAAAATCTGCAAATATTTGTGCAAACTTATATATAATACAAGTTTTAAAAATTGTAAAATGCTTTGATAAAAACTTTGGGTAATTGAAGATAGTCAAAGTATTTTAATAAAAATATTATATATAACTGTTTATATATATTGTTATAGTATTTTTTTCATGCATTATAACAATATATAACAGTATCAGTTATTATGTCATGGATGATTGAAATATTTCCTTTTGTTTCTTTTGCATGGATTTTTGAATATTTTCTAAAATTCTATCTTTTTAATTTTGTAAAATATATATATATATATATATGTGTGTGTATATGTATATAATTGAATGCAATTTTTCATATTATCAAGTAAATTATTGTACGATATGCATAGAATAATAAATGCATAAGAAAAATAATAATTCCTTATTGTACTAAATAAGAAATCAATGAAAATAATAAGAATTCCATCTTTTTAACATTATATATGTATATATTATCCAAATATATTATTTTTCTATGATTGCATATAATATGCAAGTATAAATCTATAATACATAGTCTGTATAGCATATATAATATCTAATATATAATATCTAGTTTAAAGCACTTATGTAAATTTTCTGTAATGCCATCTTGAATCTTGATCAAATATTTATATTTCATGTTCATATAATATATTATGTATGTATTAAAATAGATAAAGTTTTAATATCTGATACATCAAAGCTCATATATATTAGTAATGAAAAATATTTATTTTATAGCATTTATATCTGTTTTAATAGAATAAATTTAATAATAACAATTTTTATGATATTATTTTTATTTTTTTAAAAACATGTTTTTTATTATATTTGAATCAGACCAAACTATATATATATATATATATATATATTTCAATAAAATATTGAATATTCAATAAAAGAAAATTTTTATCTAGAGAAATCTTTAACTTTGCTTTTTTTACATTTTTTTTTTATCAATATCAATGAATTTCTTTGGTTTGGAAACATTGATGAAATTTTTTTTTCTATATTTTTTTTAATTATATTTATAATATAACTGAAGTTTTATATTTCAATAGTTCACTTATTTTTTTTGTAATAAATTTATATAAGACTTTACATTTTGTCTTATATAAATTGTATCATTGCATTTTTTAAATCGAAACTTGAAATCTGGATCCTTTGAAATAATTATTTCTTAAAAGAAATAATTTCTTAAAAGAAAAGGAAAAAACATATTATTAATGTTAGTATCGCTATTATTTATTATATATATTTATTAAAATATTATTATCATGAATTAAATTTTAAATAATTTTTAAATTATATTAATGCAAAAATATTAAATATTTGTTTTATTCGAATCCCTATTATTTATTTTAAAATTCCAAATGATTAAAAAATAGCAAAATTAAAAAAATTCAAAATATTACAACATTATAAATTGAATAACGTTATAAATTATGTTATAAATAACATAATCCAAAAATTAATATGGTCACATAAAAATAATAAGAGGTTAGGTATTCTTTTCGTAATTTATTGGAGAAGAATTGAGTCACATTAAGAAATAGTAGGAATAGTCAACTAAAGTCCGTATTTAACAATGTCTTTATTTAATAAAGTATCGTTTCTCTGCATTGTTATCTTTTGATCATTGGAAGCAATTTTGTTCCAATATCTGACAATTGTATGAATTAATAAAACAAATTTTTATTAAGTGATTGATATAATAATAATATAATAATATTATTTATATTACTGTGAGTTTTTTTAATTTAATTATTTTCATCAACATATTTTATTTCAAATGTATTATTTATAATACTTTTAATCATTTAAAATATACGTAAAGTATGACACAAATATTTATTAATTCCAATTATTTTTTTAATAGTTTAAGGTTATTTTTCAAATTTTCATTCTATATTTTTACTTGTATGCATTATAAAAATAATTATAATATAAAAATATATTTATTATTTTTAAATAGATGAATGCTGTCTTAGGTATTGGACGCACAATTAATGTATTCTGCAAACGATATCTCAGTTCTTTTAAATTACCTTCAGAATTTGTCATACCAATGAGTAATGATATGATTATCTGTTGGCATCCAGAACGAGAATTTCCTTACAAGTATTCATTACCACTACCACAAGAAGAAGAGACTTTATCAAATTCTATTTTATGTATTGGTGAAAAAGAAATTGCAGATGTTTTTAAGCATAAAAGAAAAGAAGTTGTCATTGAAGAACTTCGTAAAATGACATACACTACAAAACATAGATGGTATCCTAAAAAACGATTGTTGAGACTTAAAAAAATAGAACCAGACAGACCATATCTGTAATATGTTATATATTTTTAAAATGTAAATTAATATAATAAAAAAAGAATGGAATATTAGAGTAAGAAAAATAATAGAATTTTAAAAAATTATTATTTCAGTCTTTTTATTTATTAAATTAATTAGTTCCATTTTATTGCACCTATTTAAATATAAAATATTCCTAACTTATATATACAACATATACATACACACGCGCGCATATATATATACACACAAAAGTCAATAATATGTATTAATACATCTAAATAAGAATTAGTCTCTCAGAAAAAATGACATTTAAGTTCTATAAATTTTGAGGTAATATTTGTCTTTCTCCTTCATATAAAAATATTTGCATTGCTTGGTATAATAAATATCTTCCAAAGTTACATTTTTCCTCTATATCCCATGTTGCAACTATTCCATAATAATCTCCATTTTTACAATTTCTTAATTTTTGTATTCCTAAAGCATCGATCATAGCAGCTTCACGTGTATAAGCTTCTACTGGAATACTATTTTGAAAAATATGAAGACAAACAATTCCATATCCAGCATTCCAAATATTTAAAATGTGTTGAATTTTTGCATTTTCAGAATTTTTATTTGAAACCCATGTATCGAAAGCATCTTTAAGATGGGAGTATGGTCTATTGCGTGTACCTTTACCTATATAAAAAATAGCAGAAAGGAATGTAGTCCAAGCTATGGGTTTTGTTAGATTTTCTATACGAGAAGGTAAATCTTTTGTTATACGTGGATCTAAGAGTAAATAATTAAAGCAAGTTTTATTCATTCCTTCTCTCCATTTTCTAGAAGGACTTGCTAAGGAAAATTCTTTAAAAGCATTTTTTTCAATGATTTTGTATCTTTCTAAATCATTAACCCAATTTCCATACATTAGAAATGGTTTTACTTGAAATTCATAATAATCCATTTTAAACGAAGAATGATTAATTTCAAAGAATGATGAATTATATATTCCACTTTTTAATTTGGTGAGACGCTTTAAATAGAGTTGCCTGGTTGTATTAGTGATTGGTCCAGGATTATCGCCATAATAAATTAGTTCCTTTCGTAGCGCTTCATTTGTTGGATTCATTGATAAGTTTAATGATTTAGGCCCTAAATAAATTTATGTAAAATATACTATAAAAAGTTATAAATTGAAGCATAATTATTAAATAATTATTAATTAAATCTTACATAATTTTTCAGATGAAGTAGAATTTGCAGATTTACTGTAAATAAATAAAAATAATAAATAATTATTTCATTATTAATAATAATTGATCACTGATTCAAAGTACAATAAAAAAAAAATTATAGAATTAAAAGAAAAAATATTTCAAATTTTTTTACCTTATGATTATTTAATTCATTTTTGCTTTAAATTAAGATTAAACTTTATAGTCTCATATTACTTTTTCTTATTATATTTTAATTAACAAATTGATATAGAAATTTTTATTTTTTTTTTAAAAATTGAAATGAAATTTATTAGAAATTTGGAAATTTCATTGAAAATTGAAAATTGAAATTTCTCTATTTCTCTATTTTTGTTTTTCACTTTTGATTTTATTTTAGTGAAAAAAAATAATAGCTAATAATTTTCAAAACATTTTCTCCTTCACTAATATAATCACTAATAAAATATGATATTTAATCATGTAAATTTAACTATAATTTCTTTTAGTTGTACTATCAAATGAAACTAATAGTTGATCAAAACAAAATTTGATCACAAGAGAATCATAAGAAAAAATATTGGTTTTAGATTTAGCAATTCATATATTCAAAAAATACAAGTTTTGATAATATAAAAAATAAGCATAAATGAAATTTCATGTATTTAATTATTGTGATAAATATGATTGATTTAAAAAAGGAATAGAAATTGAAATTATTAAAACAAATTTTACTTTTATATATTCAAGCAATGTTTTAAGAATTCATTCATAGTCTAATAATTCATAGTCGAAATTTATTATATATATATTTAATAAATGTATATGTATGAAATATTAAAAATTAAAATTCATATTTCAGATAATTTTCTGATGATCTAACTATTAAATTTTATCTCAATCAAACATTGATATTATTCAAAAGAATACTTTTACTATCTTACCATGGTGATAATGTGTAAATTCTACGTTCTAAGAAAATTACACCTTCATCTGCATTTTCATATTTATATTCTTCTTGTACACTAACATATGATTGTGATCTGAAACTATTAAAAATAATTTATTAAATTTAAAATATTAAATATTTTTGAGATAAAATCTCAAGAATTATAATATCATAAAAATTAAAAAAACTATAAAAATAAATAAATTTTAATATAAGATAAATTTAATAAATTTTAATAAATTTTAAAATAAAATTTGAAATAATTGTTAAATATAAATATATATTGGACATAGATAATCTTACCTTGAAAGAAAAGTAGTCAAATTTTCTTTAAAAGTATTTATAGTATTATTAACTTTTAATTCTACTTCTTTATCTGAAAATTTTTCTTGTGAAATATATTCCTTTAAATGTTCTTTATTTTTTTTGTTAAAATCTATTTTTTTTATGTTTAAAGTTCTAAAATTATTATTAAGTTCTTCTATTAAATTTTTTTGTGATATACATGTTTTAATATTAATTTCATTTTTCTTTGAATTTATTGGTATATCTTCATCATATTTATTTTCATGTAATTTTATTGCCAGGTTTTTATTAAATTTATAATCCAAGTCTTTTATATAACTTTGATTTGGCGACAAAGAATTTGTTGCATCAGGACTTGTATTATCTGAAGAAATAAATTTATTATTTTTTCTGAGTTTTCTAAGTGATGAATACTGTCTATAAAATCGTTTTTTTCTTCTTGGAGTAGATCTTGCTATTTCTTTTCCTAAATTAAATTCTTCTGATCGAAATGACCGATTTCTCGTTATACAAGGTGTAAAAGTTTTAAATTTTAATTCTTTATTTGATACTTTTGGAGATAAATATTTTTGTTCCATCTCTATTGATTTATTTGATAAAAAATTAGGCGATTTACTTATGATGGAATCACTTGGATCATATACAGATATTAACGGAATTTTAATATTATTGTTTTGACAAAAATTTTTTCGACGGGTAATAAATCGTTTTCTTACTTTTATTTTTAATGAAAATTTATCTTTTATATTATATGATATATTATTATCAGTACTTATTGTAGATGATGGACTTGTATCATATAAAATTTCTTTGAATTGTTCATATTTCTCATTAATTTCATCTTCTTTAGAATTAGATTTTAAAGAATTTGAAAGTTGATTAATAATTTCATTGATTAAGAACTTTTCCTTATCCATTTCTTCACGAATTTGAAGTTCTGCTGCACTCGTCATTGCACTATTAACTTGATTATCATTATTTATATTATTGTAACTGAAATTAAAAGTATTTATATGTTTTATATCAGTAAATTTTTCATCTTTATGTTCTTTAAATGTATCAATTAATATATTTCTTTCAATAACATCTGAAATTTCTGGAACAATATATTCAGCTACTATGTTTTCAGTGTTAATCAGCAGTTTATCTATAAAAAATATTAATTTTTATTCATTTATTAATTAATTATAGATAGATAAAATTTATTTTTTTTACATACCAAAAGTTATTTTATATTTTGTTGGTTTTTCTTCTTTTGTAGTATTATCACAATATTTTCCAAGTATTACAATTGCTTTATAATATTTACCATCAAATGCATAATGAAAAGGACTACGTCCTTCATCATCCAAACAAAGAGGATCTCCACCATTTGCTAAAAGTAATTCTAAAACTGTGGCTCTACCCCATGCTGCTGCTACATGAACTGGAGTTAATCCATCTATTGATCTATAAGATTAATTAAAATAATATTTCATTGTTATATATTATATGAAAAAATTATATTTTTATATAAATATTTTTCTTCAAAATATAAAATTAATTTTATTTTAAATATTATAATTAATTATTTTAATTTTATTTTAATTAATTACCTGATATTTGGATTACCTCCATGACGTAAAAATAATTTAGTAACTTCTTCTGCAAATGCTTCAGAATCATTACCTATTACTAAATGAAATGGAGTCACTCCATATGTAGGAATTAAAATATTTGGATTTGCTTCCTTATTTAAAAGTAAAGTAGTTACTTGTCTATTAAAATAAATAAATAAATAAAAATTTTGAAATATAAGAAATATAATAATATGTAAATTATTTATATAATAATATCAATCTAAATTTATAATTTTTTTAAAATAAAGATCTTACTTTATATTATTATCTTCTAAACCATCGCAAAGAGAAGAAGCCAAAAAAAGACATCCCTTTGTTTTTAAGGTCGACATTATATTTTAATTATAATTGAAATTTTATAAATTTTTGTTCTATTAATTTTTAAACCTATTATATATTGAATATAAAAATAAAATATTTATTGTATGATAAAAATTATATCATAATTAAAATATAAAAGTATATCATTTATTAATTGAATGATTGAAAGAAATATTGTATATAATTGTATGTAATAAAATTATATTGTATAAAATTATAATATAAATATTTTAAAATTTAATTTATACATTATATATGTCATATAATTTTTTATAAAGTTTTTACAAATCATTTTTAAAATATAAAATAAAAAAAAATAAAATATAAAATGCTTAATATTTTATTTTTATATTTAAAATAATAATTTAAAAATTTTTCGATTATATAAAACAATATAGTTTTATAACGAACATAATAAATACTTTTCATAACAATAACTATAACCGATAAAATTAATAAATGTACATGGCTTATTAAAAATATATTGTATAAATTAATTATAAAATAAATGATAATTATATTTTATTAAAAATTAAAATTTTTTATATTAATTTTATTATAAATCTTTATATCAAATATTTACTAAGAAAATTTAAAATCAAGCACATTACAATTCACTTTATCTTTTTTTTGTTTGCCCTGAAGTTGTTTAAGTTTCTATTGACTGTTTACATTCTGTTTAAATTTATTTTTTACTGTATTAAGTTAAGTATGTAAAAGACAATTTTCAAATACTTTTTCATATACTTTATATTATATAAATAGTAAATAATAATTAATATTTATCAATTTTTATTTTAATAATGTACATATTTGTATTTGTTTATATATGTATAATAATAATTAAAGAAAAAATATGAGTAATCAAAATTGTTATAATACAGGTTAAATTCACATTATAAAATTTTTCATTTTGTACAATTTATGATATAAAGAATAAAAAAGAAATATTTATATTATAAAATTAATTATATTAATAAAAAAATTAATTTATATTATAAAATTATATTATAAAATAATTATAATTATTATGTTGCCTCCTACCGTAACAGTAATTAAAGTAACAAATGTTTTAACACCATATATTATAAGAATTTGTGAAATCAAACATTATAATGAAAAATTAAATTCTATCAATAAGAAATTATTTAAAAAAAAAGAAATTTTTAAGACTGTTAAAAAATACAATGAACCAAAAATAGGAGATGTAAGTTTTTAAAATAATTTAAATATAATTGTTATTTTAATACTAATATTAATTATATTTATATATTAATATTTATATTATATTATATATTTATAAATTAAATATAATTCATATTATTTTACTTAAATTATTTAAAAAATTTATTTTATATATAAATCTTTTTAGGCAGTTATAGTATATAATAAATTACATACAACATGTGATTTTCCTGGATGGTTATCTAGAGGACATATTTGTAATATAGGAAATTTAAAAGATATATATAATATTTTTCTATCTGATCATGGTATTTGTGTTGTATTAAAAAAAGAAGATTTTGTTATTTGTTCAACTGATATAATTACAGAAGAATATTTGAGCTTTACAGCTGGTTTATATAATGTTTTACCTGCTGATGTAAAATATGATTTCTCTATGCATAATGAAACTCTAACGTATGATTAAATATAATAATTAATATAATATTAATATAATATATTATTTAATATATTGAAATAATTCATATATTAAAAATTATATTATTCATTTTTCTTTTTTGTATGTATAAAGAATTTTAGACGAATGGAGCACATCTGCAATTGAATACACAAAAAAATTAATAAGTGCATCTGATACAATTTATTTTGATTATTTAGTATCTGATCAATATGGAAGATATTATGGTGAATTTTACCTTAATATAAAAAACAATATAATATGTTTAAGTGAAATTTTAGTTCTTAATCATTATGCTGTTTATTTAGATAAAGGTAATCTATCATATTTTTATATATTTTTAATATTTAAAATTACATTATTCCTGATGCTTATTTTTGTATTTAATTTTTGTATAGAATTATTGCAATTTATAAAAAATCCTTTGAATGAAAAGCTAGATAGAAAAATAATTAATAATGAAATGATATTTTATTTAAACATTTCAAAAGTGTTAAGTAGCAATAATAAAGAAAAAGAAAAAAAAGAAAGGTTTGATAAAAAATATTAATTAATAATTAGAAATTAATATTTTATTAACATTTTTATTAAATTTTTTATTAATAGTTTTGTAAACAAAATGAAATTTGAAAAAGATAAGTATTATGAATTTAAAAAAAATAAAGAAAGAGTATTAATTTATGGAGAAGATAAATATGAATGTTTAAATTCCACTTTAGATGCAAAATTTCCTGCAGAAATACACAAGGTATAATTATGCACTAAAATTATCATTAAGATAGATAAAAATTAATTTATATTCATATTTCAAGATTTGGAAATCATTGATACAATCTTCTAAACCAAGAAAAATACAATCATATATTTGGCCTGCTATAAAAAAGGGTTTAGATATAATAACAATTGGAACAGCAAAATCTGGTAAAACTACTGGATATGCATTTGCTATTTGCGGACTTTTGGCTAGCAATGCAAATGTAAAATATTATTTAAAATAATTATACTTTTATATTAATATTAAAAATAATATTATATAATATATTACATTTTTGTGTTTATATGTAAAAGAATCATTGTATTAGAAACTTTATAATCTCTTATTATTTTTTATCAGATAATTGTTCATTTTAAAAAATATATATTAATTTACAATTATTATATTTTTTAAAATGTCATGTTTACATGTCATATTTTAAGAAATATAAATTTTGAAATAGCTTCCTCAAGGAATAAATCCATCTGTATTAATACTATGTTCTTCTTCTTCTGAAGTATTAGAAGTTAATTTCTTATGTACAGAATTCTTACAAAATTATGAAAAAATACGATCAATTGCTGCAATTAATGGTAAATCAGAAAGATCATTAGTGGTATGTAAAGTTCTAAATTAAATATAAAAAAAAAAACAAAAATATTATTTTAATGAAATAAAAATTAAATATTTTATTTTTAGGCTGAAATGTTTAATGGGTGTCAGATATTAATTTCTACACCTAGATTTTTAGTACGTTTTATGAATAGGAATGAAAAATTAATAAATTTTAAAAATCTTCAATATTTAATTTTGGATGGTGGTGATATTATCTTGAATAAATATTATGATTCTGTAAATTTTTTTTACATTTAATTTTTTTGTTTTTATATTTAAATATAATGAAATATAATTTTAGGTAAATCATTTATTTAAGAAATATAATATTATTTCTAATAGAGAATCAAAAAATAAAATGTTGCAAATTATAATAACTGCAGCACATTGGACACCGCAATTAAAAAAAATTGCTTTTATTTTTATGGATAATCCATGCATATGTATAGCATCTTTTTTAGAAGCTGCGATTTTTAAATCTGTACATATAAATATATATGTAATAAATTCAAAAAAAAAAAATGAAAAACTCTTAGGTAAAACATTTTAAGATTTTTATTTATACTAAAATTAAATAATTTAAAATCATTTTATAATAGATTTACTAAGTAATGGATATTCTTATACAAGAACTATAATTATTTGTACAAATAATGATGAAGCTGAAGAATTATATAACTTTTTACAAAAACATATAGAAATTCTTTTAGCTCATGGAAATATGAATTTTTTTCAATTACAAGGTAGGAATATATTTAAAAATTTCAATTTTTAATTCTATTATTTCTAAATTTAATATTTTTTATTTCAAATAGATATTAAACAATGTTGGAATGTTTGTATAAGCGGTTCTTATCCAATTTTAATATGTACAGATGATATATTATCTGATATAGATATTACAAATGTAACTTGGTTAATACATTATTCAATTCCCTTGCATTCTAAGACTCAATTTAATTTTCGATTTTCGACACTTATAGAAAATTTACAAATGGTACAATTATTTTATATTAACAATTTTTTGCATAATTTAATACAAAATAATTTTATACAATAAATTTATTTAAGGAAAATTGCAATTGCAAAGTAACAATAATGATGGATGAAAATAATGATATACAATTTTTACATGTAATGAAAATTATGCAACGTATGAATATTACAATTCCTCAAAATATATTAGAAAATATTAAGGTATCTATTAAAATAATTTAATAATTTAATATATATAAATATATATAATAAAAATTTGGAAATCTAATCACATTTTTCATGAATAAAAAATTTTGTTATAAATATTATAAAAATAATCACTTATAATACATATTGACAATTTAATAAAGAAAAAATAATAAATAAAATGTCTAAAATTAGTAATAATAAAAAAAAAGACAATCATTTTAATGAATCAAAAAATAGATTTTAACTTATATTCATTTAATATTTTGTTTCTTGATATTTGTGTTATATATTATTTAGTATTTATTATTTAGAAAGTTTATTGTTTCCAAATTTTTAATAATAATATATACTAATTTATGATACAAATTTATTTTAAAAATTTGTTAAGTTTATAACAAATGCATTAGAAAAGAAAAAAAAAAATTATCCTATTTGCAATAATATAAAGTCCTGGGGATTTTGTAATAACAAATTTCATGTGCATTTAGACATAAAATAATTTCAAAAATTGATAAACCACTCACAAATATTCAAATGTAAGTAAAAAACTTATAACTTTAATAAAAAATTTTTAATTAATAAATTTTGGATATTATTTTAGAAATGATAAAGTGAAATTCAGAGTAGTAAGTATACTTGATGCCACACATGTTTCTGCTAGAATTATATCATATATTAAATTTGATACATTAGAAGAAATAGAATTTCCTAATACACAATATATGTTAATTAGCAAAAGTATTCAAGAATACTATTCTAATGCAAAAAACAGGTTAATATATATAAAAATATGTTTATGATGTTTTAAATATTAATAAATTAAAATAATATTTTAAAAATTATTTAATATATTTATTTATATTTGATTTTTTTTACAGGAAGAAATGTGAAATAATAGACATTGGATGTATATGTGGTTTAGAAGAACCAGTAGATACTTTTAAAAGAGTACAAATTTTACATATTGAAAGAGAGAATAAGACAGGAAATCCAAAGTATGTAAATGTAAAATGTATTGATAATGGAGTCATTTTGAACAAAGTAAATGTATGTATTTAATTAATATAAGAGTTAAAAAAATTATATTAATTATAATATCATTTTTATGTTAGGTATATAATTTACTATATATGCCAAAAAAACTTGTAAAATATCCTATCCAAGTATTTGAAGTATTTTTAGTTGGTGTAGTTCCTCATGATGATGAATATGTTTGGAATAATTGTGCAATTGATGCTGTATATGAATGGTTTAAAGAAAATGTTGACAATAGATCATATGTAATTGGAACGGTATGTTATATATTACTTTTTTTTATGTTTTTATAATTTTTATGAATACAATATAATATTGATTTAAATAAATAGGTAAATTTACATCTTGGAAATACAATATGGGTAGATACTTTAAACGTTGGGACAAAATTGATTGGATATAAAGACTTAATTGGTTCGTCTATAAAAACAGAATTATTAATAAAAGATCATGCTATCAAAAATGATAAGCATTTAAATCAAATGTACCAACTTTGTAGAGATGCTGGATTTTTACAAATCAATGGATATGATTTGAATCTTTAAGAAAATTTATGAAAAATTATTACATTTAAATACATTTTCAAAAATCATTATATTCTATATTCTATATATATTTTTTCATTAAAAATGTAAAATAAAATATAATCATAAAAAAAATATAACAAATATTTTAAATATTTATTATATATTGTATTATTATTGTATTATTATTATATATATGTATATTGGATACATATACATAGATAGCATATATATATCATCAATTACCATAATATTAGTAAATTTTAATATTATTTTAATTTAATTTACCAGAATAAATTCACGTGAAAAATTCTTAAAAAATATCGCTTAATTATTAACGAAACTTTATTAACTTATAAAATTTGTTAAATTATAATTACTTTTGTAAAAGAATGAATGACTATTTACTAAATAATTAAAGTTAGTTATTTTTTCATATTTTTAAAAATAAATGAATATATGAATTATATATATTTTATGAATACTATGATTAAGAAGATATCTATTTTCAAAAATCGATTCGTATTGGTTTAATTGTTGTTAAGATTTTTTTATTTACTTTTTTACATATAATTATAAATATTAATTATATATAATTATAAATATTAATTATTTTAGAACAATCAAATTCATTTTTTCATTTTATTTTCATACATTTTTTCACATTAAATAATATAACATTATATAATTTTCTTGGAATTCTTAATTTATTAATATTATAATTATTAATATTTTACTTAATATAAATAATGTTGTAATAATTATTGTAAAAAAATGTAAATAAAAGAGAAAAAAGGAAAGATCGAAAATATATTTAAGAAATAAAACAATTGAAATAAATTAATTAAAATATTTAATTAAATTTAAAAATTAATATAATTAAATTATAATAACAATAAAATTTAATTATAAGTATAATTAAATTTCAATTTCTGACTATTTATTTATAATCATATTCTGCTTGAGTAAAGTTTCGTCAATAAGTAAGTGGTCTACTTCGAAAATTCTATTAATCAGTATAAAGTACTATTTATATTAATAAGTTTAAAGAAATTATTTAGATAAATTTATAATTAAGTTTTATACAATAGTCAGGTACTCAGAAGCAAGTTGCATTGGATCAACATGATAAGAAGTAACTAAACGAACTTTCTGACCATCTTGTGTTGTAAATTCTATTGCTTGTTCGTTTTCAGCGATCCCAGATTGTTCCGATTCTTCCATTTGATTAATAGTTGCAACAGCATTTGCATCTGTATCTTCATCCTATTACAAAATTATATATAAAATTTTTATTATTAATATTGTATTTATACTATACAAGAATTAAATGTTAAAATTTGTAGATATATAATAATATAATTATTCTAAATAATAAATAATAAATAATAAAGGTAAATAATAAGTAAATTAAAATTTATTCGCAAATGATAAATAAATAGATTTTATTGATATTTTTAAAAAATTAATGTATATAATACTAAACACAAAAGTTATAAAAATGACAGAGCTTATTTTTCAAATTATAAACAATTTAATTTTTTTAATTTAACTAATATAATACTGGCCAAAGATGGCCAGTATTATCAGCTATTTGTCTGAAGTTCTAAATGAAAAGTTTAAAAAAAATAATTGATAATATACATATATTATTATACATATATACATATATTAATATTATATCATTTATTATATCATTAATTAAATTAAAAATCACAAATTTTTTTTTGTAATAATATATTAAAAATATATTTTAAAATGCAATTTCATATGTTGTATATAATTAAAAAGTAAAATATTACTTATATAAGATTTTTTGCGATAATAACACAATTTGATTGTTTATTATAATTATGAAAGATTATAATTATAATTAGAAAGATGTCATCATACAAAGAATTGTATTATTTTAAATTACTTAAAATTTTGATTATGAAAATGTGAAAAAACAGAATAATGTGAAGAAAAAGTAATGCTTACAATAGCGATTAAATATTTTATTTAACTAAAAACATTCTAATGAACATATTCAGGAAGAAATTATTTGTCACATAAAAATAAAACAAATTGAAAAACTGAATATAATATAATGTTATTGAAAATGGAATATAATTAAACTGAACTATGATAAATAAATAAAAATAAATAATTAATATATTATAACAACGAATTATGTATATAATGTTAATATATTTGTGGAATATCTTTAGAAGAATTAATTTTAAAACAAATACAAAAGTTGATATTGACAAAAATTCGATTGAACTTATAACCAATTTAAGTTTGCATTAGATAAAAGAAGTAAGAAAAAATTGCGACAATTATGTAATGAAAATAGAATGGCCTCAATCGACATTATTGTATATCATATTTTATATTTGTTTTGGCTTTTAGAATTGACTCCCTAAAAATGTTCTACAAATATATTAATATTCTATATTTCTAAAGATCTAATTATAAATATAAACAGAATACACATACATATAAATATATAAATATATTGTGAAATTTGTCTTCGTCATATTTCGTTTAGATAGATTCTATCTATAGATTCTATTTCATAAAGGATTAAATAAAAAAAAAATGTCTTAACAAAAATTGTTTGTTTTCAAGGGAAGATATCATATTGTGTAAACAATTTTTTTTCAGATCAAATAGTAAATAAGATTTTAAAGTCAATTTTTTTTTAAATGGAATCATAATTTGAATACATTAATCGATTTATCTAGGCATTTTTTATAAAAAAATATTATTCATGTATGTCGAAAAATAATTATGAAATATTTAAAAATATTATAGTTTCATTTATAATTGAAGACTGCAAAGATAATAATCTCTCGTAATTGATTATAGTTTAATATGATATATATAAATATATAAAAACAAAAAATTGCATTTTCTATGTGTATTATATTCTATCACTTTAATTAAAAATAAATACATATGTTAATAAAATAAATTGTGTTTTATTTGTTGTTCTATATTAGAAGATTATTCTATTGAATTAGAGCTAATCATAAGCGATGAATTATTTTTCCTCTAAATTTTTTAATTTAAATATTATCTAACCAATGATTTTTCAACATAAGTTAATATTTTTTAAAGTAAACGAATTCAAAATTATATAATTTAATTTAAAAAAATGACCTTCGTATAATCTCTAGATATCAATCTATAGAAAAATTATCAATATTATATAATATATCTCTATGAAAAAAGCAATGTATAAATACAGAAATACAGAATTTCATCACTCTCCTCATTGTTTACAATCTTGTATTAAAATTATAATTTTTTTTTAGAAAAAGGAGAATCCGTTTTTTTTTTCACAATTTCAGAAATAATATACTTTTATATAATTCTAATATAATTACTTCTATACTATATATTTTTAATACTATTCCAAAAATAATATACTTTTCATTAACTTCATTATAATTTTATTATTTTAAATCTGGACAAATTAGTCTTTTTCTCAAGGTATATTTATTCTTGGTTTTGATTCATTATAATTAAAAAAAAATGCCATTATTTATTAATTAGAAGAACATTGATTTCATTGGAATTTTATATCTTGATGCATTGTTCTTCAATTGATTTCTTAGAATCTTTTACTTTATATTTAACTGTTACTATATCAAATTTTTCTTCTTAAAATATATGAAAAAAAAAAATAAATTAATCCTCAAACTTAGTTTTGGATTTATATATATTTTCAATACAGTATAACAAAACAATTTAAAGAAAGAATACATTTATTATAACACATTTTTTTAACATCCAATAGAATCTACTAAAAATTGAGAATTAAGTGCAGAAAAATTTCAAAAATCTTATTAATACTTAATTATATAAAAGATCACTCATAATTTTTATTTATTTCTATTTTTTTTCATTCATGGTTTTTAATACATAATGGTTTTTAATAGTATATTTCAATAGTCTAATGTTCAAAAACTAATTATTACTAATATTGTTGCTAATATATATTTTTAGTTATTAGTAAAATTGATTTTTCATTAATGATCAAACAGATCATATAATATAATCGTATAATAAATATATTTATTTATTTTTTAATTAATTATTTATTTATTACTATAATTATTTTTTTATTTGTTCTAAATAAAAATATTGGTATATCTGACAACTAAAACAGGATTCATATATTATAAATTTTTTATTTTATATTTATTCTTATTGATTTTTATTTTTATCATAATTGAATATCTATTCAATAACTATTCAGAATAGTTTTCCTTTTATACTTCTATTTATTATAAGAATAAAGTTTAATTTTTATCCTCTTATTTTTTTTATTTTTATTCAAAATTGAATATATAGTAGTTATACTTTTTTTAATTTTATAATTTTTATGAAAAAAAATTCAAAATTATTATAAAAGATTATTATATTATAGAAAGAAATAGAAATCAATATGAATTAAATTCATAACTAAAAATACATATAATAATAAATAATTATAAAAAAATATATTTGTAATTATTTAGTCAAATTTGGAACTTTTCATTAAAAAAGAACAATTACATTTATTGTTATCTATATGTAATAACAACAATAAATATTAGTAAATGATGAGACATCTTATAATAATTATATAAATTTCAACTTTTATATTAGTTAATAAGAATTATTAAGAATTTTTTTTTATCATAATATATCATAGAAATAATATGACAATTGTAATGCATCACGATTAAGTTTCAAAAATTGTATTTGATATTGAAAGGTCACTTTTAATTTTAAGATAAATAAAAAATAATAATTAATAAACTATCAATAAATATATATTAACGAATAAATTATCCGAATAATAAATTTATTTAATTAATACTTATACAATATAAAATAGTGTTTTGTTTAAACCAATTATATACATTTGATTTTTTGACATGCAATCACTATAAAATGAAAATGTATTACTGAGTCACTTTTCGTAAGAAATTATGATTTAAAACTATACAAGAAATATGATGTCATTATGGAGATATATCTAATGATATTTAATTTGTATTATCTCGAATTATAATTTCATTATCGATTATATATTTAATAAATGCATGTATTAATTCTTCACAAAAATATTTTTATATTTATTTATTTATTTTATATTTAATCAGAAGTTTAATAAAAATTAGTAAAAATAGTGATTATTAAAATAAAGATATTGCATATGAAAATGAATAAAATAATAAAGATAGCAGTAAGTAAAATAAAAATAAAATATTAAAAAGTTAAGGTATTATTACAAGACATTAATACATTCGTGAAACGTTTCTGAAGACTCTAGAGACTAAAATAAACATAAAAAATTTAAAAATATATATATATATATATATATATATATATAATAAAATATTAAATATTATATAAAATTATATATATAAAATGTATATTTATTTATTATTGTTTATTTTTATAAGCAATTTAAATATTTATGTGACAAAATTTTATTTTATCTGCATTGTGCTTCATTTAATGAAAATTTATTTATAATTTTATAATTATAATTTTATATAATTAAATAAATCTTAATCATTTTTATATTTATACATTCATTTTGATCTTTAAATTGATCTTCTAAAATTATCCGAATATATTAATACTTTGTATAAAATCTATAAAAATAAATTGAAATTTTGAAACACTAAATTAAAACGTAATATTCAATGTTATAATTTAAAATAAAAGAGAATAAGATAATAAAAAAGAATTTCTTGTTTCTCTAAATGTAAATTTTTATGAATTTTATATAAAAATAATGTATTATTTTAATTTTTATAAAAATTATTTTAAATACTAATATGAGTATGTTAATATGAGTGAATTAACAAGTTAAATGTGATTATTTTCATAAGTATTAGAAATGCAAAAATATGTTCTAAATGAAAGTTATATAGTATTGAAGAGATCATGATAATTATTTAATTTGAGATTATGTTGGAAAACTTTATGAAAGTTAAATTTTTAGATGAAACATTATATTTTTTATTGTATATTCTTATAATTAATATTATATATAATAAAAGTATTCAAAAAATATCTATATATTTTTCATAAGCTATTAATGAGTTATTAACTTTCAAAATTTATGTATCATTGATATTATTAATAGTAATAACTAGCGTTATTTAATATATATTGAAAAGATTACTCAGTGTATATTTATGTATGCGTACAAAATAACACAAAAATAATTAAAATATTTTTTTTGTATTTTTTTTTCATATTTATAGAAATAATCATGTATAAATATTTCAAACATTGATATAATAAATATTTTAATTAAAAAAAAATTAAAAATATAAATAAAATATAAAAAAATTATAATTATTTCAATATTAGCTACTTATAATTCTATTTATTATTAAAATATTTTATTCAAAATTATTACCTGTAATGCCTTCACAATTGCTTCTGCATCTGTTTGTACAGTTGAAATATTTTTCACTTTTGCATCTACTGTATTGGAAATGTCAACATCTTTTATATCAGAATTTTGATTAACATGTACACTTAACGGTGTTGTTAATTCATCTTGTATTACGCCAGGATGGACTCTAATTTCTTGACCATCATTAAGTTGATTAACAAATTGACTTTGAGATAAAAGTTGTCTAGCATCTTGAATTGAAAGAGGAATTGGATTACCTTCTTCATCTGTAATCTGTAAATATGATTATTATTTATGTTTTTATTATTATTTATCATTTTTAATATTTTATTGTTTTACCTGAAGTTGAAGATCAGATTCTGAAAGTTCTACATTTATTCGTTCATTTGAATTGCTATTTCCAGTATCATGATCTGGATTAGAAAGGATTCCATCATTGCTTACACTTAAATGTGATAATGATTGATTTACATTTGTTTTTTCTTCTTTATTTCTCATCATTCCAGCATCAACTGATTTCAATAATAATTGAAAAATATAAATAAACAAAATTAAATATAAATAATAAAGATACTATAAATTATTATTTCATTTTTACCGAAATGTAAAGTTCGAGATTGATTAGGATCATCTGGATCTTGGTATGAAACATATATAATTTGTTGAATACCATCTCCAGATGTATCATCTTGTGTTGCAATAACCTGAGCCATTTGATCAGTTAATGATTGTTCATCAGATTCTTGAGAACTAGGTAAAATTTGCCATACTTCTCCAATTGGAGATCCTTCTATTTCACTTATTGTAGAAAGTTTAGTTTCTCTGTGCACCTACAAAAAACTCGATAATAATTCCATATTATTAAATTTTTTTATATGCATAATGAAATATATATTAATAGAATTCCTACTTTTTTGTGCTTTGTTAAGTTTGAACAATCTGCAAATGCTTTTCCACAAACATCACAAGAATAAGGTTTTTCACCTAATAAAAAAAATATAAAATAAGTTTAGAATAAAAGGTATTTTACAACTAGAAAATCTTTTGAATAATAAAAATTTATAATTTATCTATCAATTCTTTGGTATACTTTATTCGATTTTTATATATAATGGCTTATTAAATTATGAATTTTAATAAAAAATATTGATCAGTTAAATAAAATTTTTTAATGATTGATAAAATATAATATTAAAATATGTTAGAAAATATTAATAAAAATTGAATAAAATTTTCGTCTATAATCTTTTTTAGCCAATAAAATAAACATGATTATGTTCAGAAATCTTATATCAAAAAATTATTAAGTCAAGATACAATTGAATAAACATATATTAAATAAATATTAAATATTCTTGATTTTTAAAAACAAAACCATATCTGAAAAAATTTTTCATATTTCCGATTTATTTTAAATATAATCCCCTTCCAATTATAGCATCACATTCAGTATATACATTCAATATTACGATATTTGCGATATAATTAATTTTAAATACATTAATAAAATATATAATAAATACATTAATAAAAACAAAAAATACAAAATTCATAAAAATGAAATATAAAAAAATACCAGTGTGCAAACGAAGATGTTTTTTTAAAGCCCATTGTTCTGTGAAACCTCGATTACAATGAGCACACTGAAAAGGTCGTTCTCCTTTATGTCTGCGTACATGACATTTCCATGTATCTTTATGCAAAAAACATTTTGCACAAAATTCACATTTCCAAGGACGCTCGCCAGTGTGTCGTTTAACATGAAGTTTAAATTGTGAAGAAGTAGTAAACTTTCTACCACAATAATCACAGCAATAAGGTTTTTCTCCTGTATGTATTCGCATATGTTCTTGTAAATTTCCATTTTGTGAAAAACTTTTATGACATACCTCACATGTATATGGTTTGTGTCCTGTATGCCATCTAAATATAAAATTATTCGTTTATTTAATAATAAAATTTATTTAATTCAATTTTTGTATTTTTATAATAACCTGTAATGCAATGTAAGACTAGTTTTATGTGCAAATTGTTGTCCACAGATTTCACAAAAATATTTTTTTTCGCCAGTATGTGTAGATTGATGATTGATTAAATTTGCTTTTGTTTTAAAACTGGCATTGCAAGATTTACAAATATAAGGTCTATCATCAGAATGCACAAGTTGATGACGTTGTAATAATTGCTTATGTTTAAAACTTTTCCCACATTTATTGCAAACAAATCGCCGACCATTGTTGTGTTCCGCTTCTTTATGATATACTACAGAACTAGGATGATTAAGTACTTTTCCACAAATATCACATGGATATTCTTTCTCTAATTTATGTCTCTACAAAAATAATAAAAACTATTATTAATTTTATTATATTTAAAATATTTCAATAATTTTAAAACTATTTCTATACTTCGTGTATTGACATATGATGTTTTAAAGCCGTTTGTTGAGTAAAATTTTTATTGCATATAGTGCAAATAAATAACTTATCATGATCATGAACTACTTTAACATGTAATTCATATGCTTCCTTTGTTTCAAATAACTTTTTACATTGCTCACATGAAAAGTTTTTTTGGTAATCACTAGAATTATTTGAAAATTTATTTGTATGTTGTTCTTCAGTTAAAACATGATCTATTACGTTAGAAATATTATCTTCCCCAGATAAATGACGTTTTGATTCTAAACTTGAATCTTGCACAGCATGTTCAAATTCTTGATTAATATCATTTCCAATATGATGAGTTGCCTTTTGATGCAATCCTAAATTTTCCTTATTTGTAATAATTTTTTACATTCTGAACATTCATACTTTACACCTTTGTGGAAACTCCTAATTAGAAAAATAAAATATTTTTATCATTTAATTAAAAATTAATAATAATATATATAATTAAAAATAATATTAAAAATTAAATTGATTTTGTTTACTTGTGTACAATGTATCTACTACGTTGAAGAAATCCTCGACCACATAATTGACATGTAAATTTATTTCTTCTACGACGTAATTTTGGTCGTCCTCGTCCTCTACCTCGATTTACTATCACTAATTCTCCAAGATCTTTTCCTTCTTCAGACTCTAAATGACCAATTATTTCTAGAATATACAAATGACTATCAAAAAATAATTTTTAGATAAATATTTAATTAATATTAGAATTCATTTCTTACCTTCATGACTATCAGGAACTGACATATTTAATTGTTCTTCAGAATCTTCAAAAGTATCTTGTTCATCATCATCTTCTTCATCAATTACTCCTTCTTCTTTATATATTCTTTCTAATTCTTTACCTTGAACTGCTTCCATATATCTAAATTATTTCATACTCTATTATAAAAATGATAGTAATTATTATCACTTGTTTTTTCTTACAAAAAATACCTTTTCGGAACTTACGTTTTCTGCGACGTCTTCCATCTCCATCTACTTCATCTGCTTCTTCTTCATGTTTATCTTCTTCTTCTTGACTCACTCCTTCTAATACTTCTCCTTTTGTTAATTCCTAAAATTTAATAATTTAAAAATTTTTATTTTAACAAAAATGTTATCTTTACTAACAATAGATATATTTTCTGTTTGAGATTTTGGTGGACGCCCTCTTTTTCGTTTTGGTTTATTTAATCCTTCCATTTGTAAACTCATTTCATGATCCACAGCATACATAGAACCATCTGGCATTACTATATTAAATGATAATATGATAAATAATCTTAATTAAAATAGAAATTAATTAAAATATAAAATAATTACTTTTTATTATAATCTGTTGTTCAAATTGATCTTCTTCATTATATCTTGAAATATTATCTAAATGTAATGCTTCAGATCTAATTTCTGTGTTTTCCTTTTCAGCACGAAGACGTTCTCGTTCTGCTTTACGCTGTTGTTCTACCTGATGTTTCCACATCTCACGAATTTTCCTTTGACCATCCACCAATAATTCAAAAAACTGTATTGTAGCCTCCAATTGAATATTACAACCAGGACAAATAGTACGTGGTAATTTGCCATCATCATGAATCTTTAACCAAAATTATATTATATTATTTATTTTGAAAAATCAATTCTTTTATTTTAACATAACCTCAATAAATCAATAATTATTTCAATTATTATTCACTATTTCATTACCGTAAGAAATTTCTTTAAAAATCTGAAATTTTGTGCATTTCTAAATTCATATAACAAAATAATTGATTGTAAATTATTTTAAATTAAATATAATTATATAAAATTCATAACACACAGTATCACATAAAATAAGAATATTTATAAGAATATTTCAATACTGAATTACGAACATACAAAATTTATTATTGATTTTATTATTAAAGATATTATTCTATAATTGTAAATACACAAAATTTATAAATATTATAATAAATTTTCATATAATAAATAAAGTAAATAATAATGTAACATATAAGAAGGAAATATCGAACATTTGATTCAGGTAGTATTTGTATATGAAGCAGGAAGTCAAGTTAGAGTCTAATGTTTCGAAGCTTCATACCTTGAGCGGCAAGTACCGATTGACCATAGAACTTAAATCTGGATCATCACCATCTCCCATGTAAAGTAATTCTCCATTACCATTATCTTCTGCACATAACCGACAAATTGTTGAGTCATAAAGTCGTACTTCTGCCATGATTCCAAGAGAACTGCTCACTAACGACTAACATCGATTTTATCCTAACCAAACTGACCAGTGAGTATGCACAACTACTACACCTATATTTTAACTATGCATAATGTAATCCTTAATTCAAAATTTTATATATGAATTTTTATATAAATAAATTATAATTTTTTTTGTACATAATATTTTCTTTTTATAAATTTATCTTTAAATTATAAGAATGCTTTATACACAATAATCGATATATTACCGATATTTCGATTAAAGAAAATAAGCAATATGTCGATATTTTACAATCGATAAATCGATAATTTATTATATATCGATAAAGTACATTATATTTTATTTTAATTATATTAGTAAAAAAAATTAAAAATTTTTGTTAATATATATCTTATTAATAATAAAATAAATATTATCTAATGAAAAACTTTTATTAAACACAAAAAACATTTGATTTATTTATATTATATTTTTTATGAAAATAAATTAATATTTATTTTTTATTAATTTCCTCAAACATGTGACATGAACTCTTGATAGTTTTTTATTTTAAATAATTAAATTATTGACATAAAAATAAGATTAAATTATATTAACTTAAATAAGTAGGATGTATTACTTATCATCATCAAAGATGGAAAAAGAAGAAAATACACTTGAAGAACATGAATTTTATACAGCAGCTGCTAAGTATTGGGAACATATTCCAGCTACAGTAGATGGAATGCTTGGTGGTTTTGGATTTATTTCTCAAATTGATATAAAAGGATCCACAAAATTTTTGAAAACTTTATTCGAAGTATGTATTGTAATTAATTTTTTAATATTTAAAAATATTTTTTATTAATATTCTTAAATATATAATATAATATTATAATATTAAAATTTATTTTATTTTAGTTAGAAAATCCTCCATCAAAAACATTTGCATTAGATTGTGGTGCAGGCATAGGAAGAATAACAAAAAATTTATTATTAAATCATTTTAAACATGTTGATTTAGTGGAGCAAAATTTAAAATTTTTAGAAGTAGCTAAAACATATTTGAAAAATTATTCTACAAGAATTCAAAATTATTATCCCATTGGTAATATCTTATAGGTTTATTAATAATATAAAAGATATTGAATTAATTAACTCATATTTCAAGGACTACAAAATTTTTACTTTAATACCAAGAAGTATGATGTCATCTGGTGTCAGTGGGTTTTGGGACATTTAAAGCATAATGATTTAATAGAATTTTTTAAAAAATGCTCGTAAGTACTATTTAATTTTAATAAAAAATATAAATTATTTTTAGTTACTTAATATAATTTTTATAGTTGTGGTTTAAGATCCAATGGTATAATAGTAATTAAAGAAAATGTGACAACTTCTGAAAATTTAGAAGTTGATACTAAGGATTCATCAGTGACACGACCCCTTTCTGAATTATATCGTATATTTCAGAAATCAAATTTAATTTGTATAAAAGAAGAACAACAACATAAATTTCCACGTGGATTATATCCAGTTTATATGTTTGCTTTAAAGCCAAATAACAAACTTTAAATCTAAATGTCAAAAATGATACAAAATTAAATAAATTTTTTTACCTGTACATTTTATCAGTTATAATTTTTAATGTTACAAATATATAAATAATAAGGTTTTAATTTTATAAGAATTATATTTTTCTTTATTTTGGACGTATTTTTTCATACATAAATCGTTGATTTATATCTTGAGGAGATGCATTTATAAATCGTTTTTTTACAGCATGAAAATGCATTAGAGCAAAATTATATAATTCATTTTCCATCTTCCAAACAACAGATTTTTGAATTTTGTCTACCGTTTCAGGTCGCGGATTAATTTTTTGAGTCGTTTGACGTAAATGTGATTTATTATCTAAAATTTAATAAATTATTAATTTATTATTAATTATTAAAAAATCAATTTAATTTTTTCTTAATTTCAATTTTTATCTTTTCTTACTATGCAAAAAAGAATTATAAGCTCCTTTAAAGAAACGTGGAAGCACAATTTGCAAAATTTCTACAAATTCTGTTAATTCTTCTGTTACTCCTACAAGAAGATAATGTTTTTGTAAATTTCTCTTTGCTTCTTCTAATGCCCAACTATTTCCAATTTCCCTATTAAATAATATTTGTTTATTATAAATTATTTAATTATATTAAATTATATTAATAATTAAAATGATGTATTAAATCTTACCAACAAGCAGGATCATGACCACATAGAAATGGTATTTGTAACCACATATTATCAGGATCACAATCTGGTTGGCCTGCATCAATACACTCATCAAAAGTCTAAAAAAATATACATTAATAAGCATTATAATGTAATAAATAAATAAATTGTAAATTATAATTGTTACAAACCTTAGTATCTCCATGCTTTTTTCTAATTAAATGTGGTCTAAAATTATCTCCATATCTTAAAAAGTAGTAATACGAAACAAATCTATCTAGAGGTTTACGCAAGAGATTTATATACAAAGGTGTTTGTTTTATACCAAATCTAAAGCATAGATATAATTTTAAGAAACAAAATAAATAATTTTTATAATGAATATCTTATTCACTTACTTTTCAAAATTCAAAAATGCAACATGGCCATGATAAAATGCTGGTTTTTTTGTATTCCAAACAGTTATATTATTTGCAAATTGAATCTATAATTTTTTAAAATATATTAAATATAAATTAAGAAATAAAAATAAAATAAAAATTAATATTACCTGATTAGCAAGTGTAAGAGTATGCATATTATTAGAAACATTAATATGTAAAACATGATATTTGTTGTGTTTGCACAAATCGTAGACCAAACCTACAAAGCTGGTTGATGCTGTCTTTGGTACCCTGTTGTAGATAATGATGAGATCATCAAAAGGTGATTTGTAAGAATGCTCACTAGCTTCTATCCCAGTTTGAATATTGTTTTGTTCTTGCGTGATGGCATTGTCTGGAAGTACGATAGGATACCTATGTTATTCCATCACCTTTAACAGAACGAGATATTAAAAGGATGAAACTTTTGCTGTTATAAATTAATAGAATTAATTGTCTATTATAACGCCTACGCAATAATTTGTAGTGATCCTCCAGGAAATTTAATTTCATTTTTAAATAAATGATAGTGATTGTAAATATCACTACCAAAATCCATTGTAGTAGAAAACTTCTGTGTATCATATTTTCTTTATCAAATTTTAATAACTACATAAAAGACACACTTCATGAATTTCACACTAATTCTAATATTAATTTGTAAATATTTATAAATTTCGTTCAAAGATTTAGCAAGTAATTTATTCTAAACACTTCATCTTTTTTATTTAATACTATAAAAATGTATTATGCATTTTAGAAATATAGTCCTTTTTAATTTCTGAATATTTTATTAAATATATGCAAATATATATATACATATATAAATATATATATATTTTATCTTCATAAAACTCTTTTATCCATATCAATGAAATTTGCTTTCGATATATGATTCGATAACTTAAATTATCGATTAATCGTATTTAACATTTCGATTACACTCGAATTAATTCTCAACAAATATTTTTCAAAATATAACAAAATATTCAAAATTTAATGATTGCAAACTAATATTAATAATAAGAATAAGAAATAATCATTTATTATTAATTTGTATTAATAAATTTTTCATATCATACTTTTATAATTATTATTGTAATTATGTTAAATCATTACAATTATTTAATAAAATATTATATTAATAAATATAATATTATATATTTATATAATATTTATATAAATAAACAAATAAAATATATAAAATACAATTACATTGGATATATGCTTCAACTTCTTAAATTTACTTTATTTTTTTTATTTTATATAATTATATATGGACATAATTTCAAATTTAATTTTTTTTATTTATTTATAATTAAATATTATGAAATTTATATATATATAAAATTCAATTTTTTTACTTGTATATAAATCTATAAATTATATATTATTTATTATTTTATACATTAAATTATATATTTATAGATTTTATAGATTTATTTTTATATTATATTATAATTATAATTATATAATTATATTATATATTTATGTATATTTCAAAAATTTATTTAGAATAATGATATTATATATAACAAAATTTAAAATTATGTAATTATTATTTTTTAATTTATTTCAAAAGAGAAAATAATATAATTAGTAAATATAATTAAACAAAATGTATCATATAATAAAATTTATCAATATGTATTTATAAATTGTTTGTATAAGATTTTAGCAATTTAACTTACATAAATTATATTAACATTATGTTATTTATAAATATCTAATTTTTGTTAATTTTTACTAATATAAAATTATTATATACAAAACTTAATGAAAATTAATTAAAAGTAAAATTTTTTGTTCATAATATATTTTATTTTTCTTACATTTTTATTATATATTTTATTAATAAAATTAAATAACATTAAATAATTTTATTCTAATGAATTTAACATCAAAAGCTGTTTCAGCACTTTCGTTTGACTAGTTTCCCTTATTTCTCCTGCTAAAAACATTTCATCTACAACTGTATATACCTATAAAAAGTTTTTATTAAAGAGAATTATGGAATTATGGAATTATGTTATAATATATATTTATATTATATATTACCTTATAAAAATTAAAAACAAGATCCAATTCACACACATTATGGAAATATTCATTTAATACTTCAACAAAATTATGTATTGCTTCTAGATAGCAGAGATTATTATCATTGACATCAACACAAATGCAAAAATATAAACCAGCATATCTTCTATATACAATCTTGAAATTACGAAACTAAAATATAACCAATTTAACATTTAACAAGTATTAAATAATATAATAATAAATTATATATAAAATTTACCTCTACAAAGTTTGTATGCTTAGCATCTCGTACAGTTACTACTGCGTGGACTTCTTCTATTAATTTTTGTTTTTCATCGTCATCAAAATTCATATACCATTTTGCTAATCTTGTTTTTCCAGCTCTATTTTGAATGAGGATGAAACGGATCTGTACATTATTTCGTTATTTTTAGAATTTATTTTGTTTAATTGATAAATAATTTCGTAAAAATATAATTTTTACTACTATAAGGAAAAAAAAAATTATAATTTTAACTATGGTAACGAAAACAAATACATTGAAAATACTACATTGAAAATGTATTTAATAATTACTTGCCATGATTAATTTGACTTTATATGTTAAATAATACTACAATTGATGTACTTAACAACCGACGATCAACAAAGAATACACAAAGAAGTCGAATGACATTTGTTACCGCCCCTGACTTATAAAAATTGTGAATTAAATCATTTTAATATCTAAAAATTTAATAAAGTAATTTGGATATTTCCATAATTGTAAAAGTTCAGAGAGAAAAAAAATTTTTATGAAAATAAAATGTAAAATTTTTGAAAAAATAGATGCTTATTCTTTAATAATCATTATCGTATATTGACCGCAGAAACAAAATGGCTAACGGTGGCAAATTTGAAAATGATGAAACTTTGAAAGAAAATGATGAAGACTTGAAAGAAAAAGAAGAAGAAAAAGAAGAAGGAGAAGAAGAACAAGAAGAACAAGATATAAATGCAGAAGAAATATTTGATGTGACAGATGAAAAGCATTCATTTATAGCTTGGAAACCTCAAGATGGAACTATAATTGAAAATATTTTAGAATTTTTGTATCCTTATTTTTCTTTTGCATTTTATATCTTTATTATTTTATATATTATATTTCTTAATATGTATATTAGTTATTCATATGGATATGATTGTCGAAAATATTTCAATCTCTGTGTAGTTGATCCAAATACTATTGCTTTTGCTACTGGCAATTTAATTCAATTTTTTAATGTAGAAGAAAATAAAATTTGGTTTAAATTAGGTTCTATAGGAACTGGTATTGGACACATTTCAGTAAATATTATATTTTCAATTAATATTAAGAAGAATATTATAAATTTAAAAATTTTATTTATAAATTTAAAAAGTTTTTTTATAAAATTATTTAAAAAATATATTTTTTTTTTATAGAAAAACCCTATTTTTGAACATATTGCTGTTGGAGCAAATGGTAAAAATCCTGTGATAAATATTCTTGATTGGCCTCATATGACAACTATAATTGTTTTAAAAGGAGGAACAACTAAACGTTATCTTCATTTATCATATAGGTTTATATTTAATAATAATTTTAAATATATATATATATAATTAATATTATATAATTAATATATAATTAAGATATGATATGAAATAATATTTTTTATAGTCCAGATGGTTTATTATTGGCATCACAAGGTGGTGAACCTGATTATTTCATTTCCCTTTGGAATTGGAAAGAATCAAAAATTGTTTTGCAATGTAAATCGTATGTTCAAAATATATATAATGTTACTTTTTCTAAATTCATTCCTGGTCAATTAACATCAAGTGGTATAGGACATATTAAATTTTGGAAAATGTCTAAAACTTTTACTGGATTAAAACTTAAAGGTGAAATTGGTAAATTTGGAAGTACAGAAATTTCTGATATTATAGCAATTTATCCCATGCCAAATGAAACTGTAAGAAAACATTAAATTAATTGCATAAAAAAAAATATAATTTACAATATGATAAAAATTTATAACTACACATTTTTAAATAAATTTTTTAGGTGATTTCTGGATGTGAATGGGGTAATATCCTTTTATGGGATGAAAGTTTAATTAAACTTGAAGCATGTAGAAAAAATAAAGAAACGGCACATACTGGTTTTATCAGTCAATTTGAATTTATTAATCAAGAATTGATATCAGTTGGTAATAATAATTTATAATTAAAATTCATACAATTAATGTGCAATTATTATAAAAAAGAAGAGAAAAAATATAAATAATAATATAATTTTTAATTTAGGATCTGATGGATGGATACGATTTTGGTTTTATGAAACCATAGATCATGCTGATCTTGCTGATGATGAACAATTTCTTGAAATTCAACCAATTTATGAATTTGAAATTACAGAAAATGAAGAAAATGCAATGCTTATAAGTATACAAAAACAGGAGCCAGATAATCCTGACAAAACAATTTGGTATGCTCAAGTAAGTATAGTGTAATCACACACATATATAAAACATAATATAAATATTGAAAAAAATATTAAACAGGATGGAATGGAGGTTTATGGTTACTTGATCTTTGTACTCTTAAAAAAAAAACTATACAAAAGAAAATTTTTATATGTCATGCTGGTCCTGTTGTTGATATGGATATAGCAGATTGGGGACCTTTTGTAGCAACACTTGATAAAAATGGCAATTTGCATATTTATAATTATATAGAAAAAACATTAAATTTAATTTACAAATTTCATAATACTGGTAGCCAGATTATTTGGCTTCCATGTAATGTAAATATTTCTTTTTCTTTTTATTTTCTTTGAATAATTTAAATAGTATTATTTCATTAAAACTTTTATTAGATTGAAAAAACAGGCTCAACACTTATATGTGCTTTTGAAAACGGTATTATTAGAATGATTACATTAGAAACTACAAAGATTAAAAACAAAAATGAGAAAAATCATGTAAAATTAATTCAAGTTTTAAGACCACATTCAATGCCAATTACTGTAATGTCTTTAAATACATCTAGTAGGTATGTTATATATACATATATATTTTATATATACTGTGTAATTTTATTATTATTAATATGTATCACTTATTTTTAGTTTATTAGTAACAGGTAGTGATGATGCTACTATTTTTGTATTTAATATTCATACTCCTAATAATTATCCTACAATTGTACCTATTGGCTATGTGAAACTTCCATCCTCTGTTACTTGTATGGCATGGAATCCTTATGAAGTAAGTACAATTATTTAAACAAAAAAAAATATAGATAATAATTTTAATTAATATAAATAGGAAGCTACTTTGTTAATTGGATGTTTGAAAGGAGATTGTGTGGAAGTAAAATTACCTATAACACCTCAATCATATACAACAACTTCTTATGAGTTAATTAAATGTAAACCAGTATCATTTAAATTTGAATCAGTAAAATCTATGATAGAAAGAGAAGCTATAAAAAAAAAATATGAAGAAGAAAGGGAAGAAAGATTAAAAGAAAGAAAAAAAAAATTAGAAGAATTAATTGCTGAAAGTCCTCATATTGTAATTGATGAAGAAACATTTCTTAGTAAATACTTATTTTTAACTATATATATTAATAATTCAATTTAAATTGAGTGTAACAATTTTTGTATAATTATGCTACAGTAATTTTTATGTATTTCATTTTTTTTAGTGGAAATTGATGAAAAAGAAATGATTCTTCCAGAAATTTATATTCCAGAAATTCCAAATAAAGTTTTAATAGCACAATATGGTATAAATGGAAATATATGGTTATTTATGGCTGGTTTTGATGCAGGATATATTTATGAATATCCACGTCCATTATTAGCAAAACCAAAAAATATTAAACTAATTAGACCTAGAATAATTGAATATGCAAAAGATATAGAAATGCATAATTTTCTTTTTCAGTAAGAATATTTGAAAGTATTTTTGAAAAACAAAATGCATAAAAATAATAATTTATATTTTTTTTAGAAAAAACAAGAAATATCTATATTTGGGAACACAATATGGACAAGTTTATGTAATTAAGATAAAGGAAGAAGATCCATTAAATTTTTCAGACTGTTGGATTTTACAAACACATGATCATTATAATGGACATATATCCAAAATTTTATTAAGTTATAATAAAGAAATGTTGCTAACATGTGGCCATGATGGAAATATATTTTCATTCTCAATCAATGATATACCAGATGAAAAATATGATATTCCAAAATTAGAGTATTTTCTTTTTGTAGTATGTTACATGATTTCTTAATTAATATTTTAATAAAATTGAATTTGATATAATATTTATAATTACATACAGCCTAAAATTGTTGAAGATATTGAAGATGTTGATCATCCAACTTTAGAAGAAGTAATTACTCGAATAGAACAAAATAGAATTATTTCTGTTGCAGAGGAAAAAAAGAACATATTCTTGAAATTGTACGTAATTTAGCAGAAGAATTCACTAAAATTACTACAAGGTATATATTTTTCTTCATTTTTTAAATATAAAATCAATGAATATTATTTTTTTTATTTATCTTATTGTTATTATTATCATATTTTTGATTCCTTCAGTTCCTGCATTTATTGGATATGAAATATAAACTAGTTTTTGTGACATTTTTTAATTATATAGTACATTTTTAATATGTTGCATAATTTTTGTATAAGAATGATTTTTGTATTATATATTGTGATATTTACTGGAATAAAAAGAGTTAAAATAAAACAACATATGATAGTTCATGATAATAGAGATATTTCATTTCTAATTACATTATATCTAATGTAAATTACTTATAATTTACATAAATAAGTAATAAGTAAACCTTAATCGACATTTTTATATCAACTTTTATATTTGTTTTGCTTTCTAAAATTAACTCTCCAAAAATGATTATGAATATTATGAATATATTAATTCTTTCTATATAAGAATTGATTAATAACTATATTGGATTATATTATATAAATATTATATAGATAACATAATATAATATATTAAATAATATTTAGTATATAATGTTTCTTTGCCCATTATTTTCTTTTTTTGTTTTATCATTACTGATTATTTATATGTTTTAATTATTGCTTGATGTAGCGTTGTAATTTTATTATAAACATAATTTCTCAAGTTTTTTATTTGTTTCTTGTTTAGTATAAATGCATTTGTTAATTTTCTTGTTCTTTCACTTACTAATGTTATAATTATTCATTATTATCATTATTATTACGATTAAACTCTATGATTGTTTTTTTTTTAATTTAGAAATAAATCTCTTCTAAAATCGCAGCAAATATTACAATTTGATTTGGATCCAAGAATAGTAGAAGATTTAGAACAGCAATTGAAAACACAGATAATCTTAACACAACAAAAATTAGAATTTGAAGTAGAAAAAAATAAATTACAATTAGAAAAACTTATGAATCATTTTATTATGCCTATCACTTGTTTACCTTTTGCAGTTTATGGAATATTGTAAGTATTTTTCTTTTTTTAAATTGTTTATCAACAATTCTTAAAAAATTATGCCAATTAAAATTATAAAATTAGGAATGAAAATAAAGCAGTGTATTCTGTAAGAGAATTAAAATTAGATACTGATGGCATTTTAAAATGTATGAAATTGATGAAGCAAGAAGAACGACAGAAAACAGGCAGGTATATCTGTATTTTATTATATTCTGTTATTAAATTTATACTATATTTCTTAATTTTTAATTATCTTCTAAGAAATGGAATTGCTGCAAAAATTGGATAATAATATATTACAGGAAAAAACAATTTTGTATGTTTTTCACTATTAATAATATTAATAATTATATTTATAAGATCTATTTTTAATTGAATAATTTTTAGTAATGATTTTTTGTAACAACATTTTTTTTTTATATGTATATCTTTAAATTACAGAATAATAAAAGAACACATTGAGGAAGAAAAACGTGAGGTAGAAGAAAGAGAAATAAAATATATAGGACTCTTAGGTGAAGATTTTAGTGATTTAACATCAGGATTAGGATTACAAATTAATCAAATGTTTTCAAAATACAAGGAGAAAAAGATTAGATTAATGGAACGACAAAAAGAAGTAAGTAAATTGAAATAAAAAAATTACATTATAATATTTATTATTTTTTTAAAAGTATATTATATATACAGTGGCAAAAATTATATAGAAAAAAACCAAATTTGATTAAAGGTCGTTTGAAAGATACAATTTTTCTTGAAAAGGCAAGACAAACCATTGGTGAATATAATTTAAAAGTAGATGTAGATTTTAGTTTAACAAGAAAAAGAGAAACTGCAGCTATAAAATTTAAACAACTTATGGATTGCAGAAATAAGGTACAAATGCTAGAAAATTCAGTATTAAATATAAAGATAATTTTAAAAATAATTATTTTTCTTATAGCTTCATAATTTGCGAGAGAATTTCAATATGAAGTTGAAAGCAATTGCATTAAAAAAACAAAGAATACAAGAAGAGTTTGGTAAACTAATACAAACTCTTAAAAAAATTCATATAGAAATTCCATTGAAAAATGTAAAACCTTTACCATATCCACCAAAAGTGAATCTTGATATTGAATTTCCTGAACATAATCTTGAAGTTAGTTATATTTATAATTAATAATTAAGTGCATAATTAAAATTATATAGGATTATTTTTTATTACTTTATAATAATCATTACAGCTTGAAAAATATATATCTATGTCAGAAAAGATGCAACAAATAAAACGCGAAAAACAATCATTGATTGTAGATCAATTAATAGATTATTCTGATTTAGAATATGAAGTATTATATTGTGATGACAAAAGTATTCAAATTAATGAAGAACAAGACCTTCTTCATTCTCTTATTTCTTCTTCAACAATAAAAATAAAGGATCAGTCATCTATAGCAGGTGATTTAATTAAAAATCTTAACATAAATGACTCTATTCAAACTAGTTGGGAACGTGAAATGAAACGTTCTCGAATGTGGCGAAAAATATATGAACAAGATTGTATTTTACAACATATCAATACTGAATATAAACAATTGGAAATTGAATTAGATGAATTAGAAAAATATAGATTAGATGTTATATATCAAAGTATATATATGAATCTAAATTTGTTAACTTTATATGAAGAATTTATTATTTTGAGAGAATCTGAAACAATGGAACATATACTTGAAGAAAAAGTTACTCAGAAATCAAATGAACATACTACACTGGTGTTAAAGGTTATTATTCTTCTAATAAAAGAATTAATTTTTAATCATATTTTTATTTATTAACAATATTATATTAATATATAATAGATGCAAGGTACAAATATTAATATTACTACACGAGAAGAAGAAATTCGAAAATTGTATACAAAAATTAAAGATATTGCTACTGAATTCGCAAAAACTACAATTGATAGTAAATTTCATAACTTTCTTCAAAAAATATTTAAAAAAATATACAATAAAAAAAGCAAATGGTATTAAATTCTCTTATTTTCATTATGAATATATTTTTAATTAAATTTAAGAATATAATTTCAAATTATTAAAGAATAGTTAATTATATTAAAATTATAATTTTTAGCTTCTTTAGATTCAGTTACAGAATCAACAGAAACTACTGATGAAGAAACAGATGACACAATAGATTCTGAAGCTGAATATGTTCCATTTGATGAAAATATATGTCCAGTAGGATGTGATATACAATTATATGAAATGGCATTTGCCATGAGAGAAAAACGATATGCATATGAATTTCAAATTAGAGAAGAACAAAGAGAAATAGAACTTTTGCAAAAAGAATTGGATACTGATTCAAAATATTTAAAAATCGTTGAAAATATTTTAAAAAGTCATCAGGAAGAATTAGAAAAATTTATGGTATTTTCAAACATATTTCCAAAAATATCCTATTATATATAATTTATAAAATATGAATTTTATTTTTTACAGTTGGATAAACAAAAAAAATTAAATGAAATTAATGTAACAGTTATATTGAAACTTCATCAATTACAGCATATATTAGATTCTGGATCTATTGCAAACATTGAAGATTGTATAGTTTTTAATAAAAAAAATTATCAAATTTATATGCTAGAGTAGGAGAGTTGCAAGAAGAAACATACAACTTAGAAGAAACACGCAAGTATAATAAAAAGAAATAAAATAAAATAGAAAAATATGTAAAAGAAAATTTATAATTTATTACAGAAAAAATGAAATACATTTAAAACGAATAAAATTGGACCTAAAATATATGAAAGCTCAAAACAAAAAATTAAAAGAAGAAATCAAAGAAAAGATGATACAAAAATTTGGTTGCAAAGTATCTTTGATTGAACTTTATGAAATTATTTTACAGAGATTAATTTATGATACTAAAATTGATGTACGCAAAATTATGAAGAATTTTACTAAAGATATAGAAAGTAAATTTTATAATGTTTATTATTTTATAAAATTATTTTAATGAAAACATATACATTTCTATTATTATAATCTTTCAGATACAAAATGGAAATATAAGGAAAGTTTAATTACCTTGGAAAATTTAATTCAATATAATACTGAAAAATTAAGTTTTTTGACAATATTAGAAAAAGAAAACTTTAAACTTAAAAAAATTTTGAAGCAAACTTTAATTTCAGAAGTAAAATATTTTAAATCTGCTTATTCACATATAGTGTGGACTATTTAATATGATTATTATTTATTTTTATTATTAATTAATCAAAATTTTTTTACTAATATATAATATAATAAAATATTTTTAATATAATAATAAATAATAAATTACTTACTATAAATAATTTCAGAAATGTTTAAAATAATATCATATATTTGTATATTTTTTTTAAATTTTTAAATTCACTTTCAATTTTTTTCATATATAATTCTATAACATTTTCATTTATTAATTAACAAGATGAATTAATTTAATAAATTTTAAAAACATTTTTTTTTTTAATAAAAGAAAAACCATAGAGTAATATAGAAAAAAATTAAAGATAATTTTGAAAATTTATTTACAAAAAAAATATACAAAATAAATCAAATTTCATTATCTTAAAGATTCTTCAAGATTTTAACATTTATAATAAAAAATTTATCAATACATTAATAATGAGAATAATTAATATAATTATATTAAATTCATCCATCTAGTAAAACTTTATCTTGAAAAACCAAAATTTGGAAAAATTTTTTTTATTTACTAATATTAAAAATTATTTATGTTTAAAAGAGCTTGCCATATAATTTTAAAATTATATTAACTTTATTTACAATTTATCCGATAGTAATTGCAAACAAATAATTTTGACAAAATAGAATTAATTTTTAGAATTATTTTTGATCTTATTATTTTTAGAAAATTTATGATCTTAAATATTGATTTGTTTATCAATATAATTTATTTAAAAAATAATTATTAATAATATATCTATTAACTATTAATATTTTTAAATACTTATAATGATTGCTTGAATTCAAAAACTGTTTTTGAATTCTATTTATCAAATACTATGAAGAAATACAAAAATAACAAATTTTTAGTTTTTCATAATGAAGTTCTAACATTATTAATTCTTAATCAATTAAAAATTATATTAGTTAAATAATTAATATTTTTCTTTATAGAAGGATATGTTAGAAATAGAACTTGAACATAAGACTGATTTAATTACACTTGAAAATATTCTTCACAATCAAATACAACAAAAACACATTCTACAAAATGATATAGAAAATCTTAAAGTTGGATCAAGAAAATTATTTTCAAATTGTTTGAATCAAAATATATCATAAAAAATTAATTTTAAATAAAATTATTAATTGTATAATATAATTGTATAATTTAAAAGTTTTTTTAATACTTAGAAATAAAGTTCTTGATTAAATGAAATTAAAAATTTTTTTTAACAAAACTTATTCTTAATATTTATAATAAGAAATAATAATAATAATAATATTTGATATATATATATATTTTATACTTACTTAATGTAAATTATTAAAATATAAAAAATATGTTTGTAATTTACGTTTATAATTTTTTCAGATTTTTTAGATTTATTATTATAAAATATTCTTATTTTCATCGATTAATTTATAAATTTATAAATTTATTTTAATTTAAATTTTTAAATTCTTTTTATATGTTTTTATAAATTTTGAAAATGATGATCTTAATTATTGGAATTAATGATTTAAAAGTTGTATATATAATTTTTAGAAATTTTAGTAATAATATAACGCCATATTAAATTCTTAATTAAGTTACTTAAAAAATAAAAATGGACCAAATTTGAATTATCTTTCAATAAAATATTTTTATATAATTTTATATAATGCAATTAATATTATTAATATTATAAGTATAATTATTTATATTATATATTCAATGAAAAATTATAAATTATAAATATATTATAAATTATATAATTTTTTTTATCTAAAAAATAATTTGAATTTAGCGCGGCTTTTATCGTCCAATTAAATTGTATAAAGAACTAACATAGAATCATGAAATTCTTTAATCGAAAGATAATTTAGATTTGATGTGTGTTCTTTTTTCTATCATCCAATCAGATTAAGTAAAAATTCAACATAGTCATATAGTTTCCAAAAATCCCTAAAAATGCAAAAATTTGCATGTAAATAACTTTTAGTCACTGAATTTCTATAACTAAAATTGTCATTTTCGAATTTTATGTATCAAAATTTATGAAGATATATAAAAAAATACTTAAAATTTAAGTATTTTAAATTAAAATTTAATTTTTTTATTTAATTGTTGAATTTATTATATTTAGAAAATAATAAATAATTTTAAAGAAAGTAAATGTTAAAATGAAATGTTAATAACTTGTGTGTATTCTTTTTAAGCGATTCTAATTAACGTATTATTAATGATATAAGGAAATGTCAAATCTAGCTTAACGTTTAAAAAGTCTATGGTAATTTTTAAACTAAGGAGTAAACAAACAAGAATAGAATAATGAATAGAAAATAAAGATAAAAAGGAAGATATAGCAGAAATATAAATTTATTTCTGTATAAAAAGTGTATTTATTTATTCTTTCAAAAATTATAGAAATAGAAATTTAAAGTGCTTTTTAAATAAAAAAAAATGGATCAAATGTTACCTAGTCCTGGATTTAGCATTCCAAGTATAGGTACACCTTTACATCAACCAGAAGAGGATCAGCAAATTTTACCTAATGCATTACAACAACAGCAACAACAGCAGCAGCAACAGCAACAATCACAACAACAGCAGCAATCACAACAACAGTATCAATTACAACAATTACATACTATGAGTCCAAACATGCAAAGTGGTATGCTAATGATCGGAACACCGCAAAAAAATATGCATGCCTATGCAACAACACCTACTTTTGCAACACCACAAAGTCTTATGCAACCACAAACACCGGTATGGCTAAATATAATAGTTTTTACATTTATTGAATATTATATTTTATATTATTTGAAAAAACTATAATATTGTTTATAGCAAAATATGATGTCTCCATTAGTGCAAAATACTAATCATATAGCTCCTCCATCTATAGGACCATCTACACCTGGTCCTATGACACCTATGACACCGGCTTCTGCAGATCCAGGAATATTACCTCAACTTCAGTAAGTCAAAAAATTATTTCATGATGAAAAATATCTAATACATTTCATTGATCTTACAGGAATATTGTTTCTACAGTTAATTTAAATTGCAAATTAGATTTAAAAAAAATAGCTCTTCATGCTAGAAATGCGGAATATAATCCAAAGAGATTTGCTGCAGTTATTATGAGGATAAGAGAACCAAGAACCACTGCATTAATATTTAGTAGTGGAAAAATGGTTTGTACTGGAGCAAAGAGTGAAGAGGATTCTCGATTGGCAGCAAGAAAATATGCCAGAATTATTCAGAAACTTGGTTTTCCAGTTAGTAAATATTTTTAAATCATTTATTTATTTTTAATCAATTATTTTTAATCAATTATAAATTTAATTTATTTTACATGAAGGCAAAATTTCTTGATTTCAAAATACAAAATATGGTAGGCAGCTGTGATGTGAAATTTCCAATTAGATTAGAAGGTTTAGTACTTACACATGGACAATTCTCCTCATATGAACCTGAACTTTTCCCTGGATTAATATATCGTATGGTTAAACCTAGAATCGTTTTACTTATATTTGTTTCAGGAAAAGTAGTGTTAACAGGTTAGTAATTATTGTATGTGTTACATATTTATATGCGTTATTCTTCTTTTTATATATATTTATGATTTATTTTTTAAATTATTATTTTTATTATTTGAGTAGGAGCAAAAGTTAGACAAGAGATTTATGAAGCATTTGATAATATCTACCCTATTTTGAAGAGTTTTAAAAAGCAGTGATTTTATTTTTTACATGTTAAAGTTATGTATTAAATGGACAAAACTAAGGTAAGATATTTTGATATTATTGCCTTATAATCAATAAAGAAATAAAATAAATTATGTATGTTTTGCTATGGTGCTAAAAAATTTTTAAAAGAATTAAACAAATTCTATGAAATGAATAGACTAAAAAATATTTTTGTTAAAATAATTACTAAAAAAAAATATGTTTAATTTTTAATTAAAATTTTATTAAACAATTTTCAAAAGGAGAAGCTTCCAAATTTATTATTATAGAATAATGTGAAAAATATAGACTACTTGGAAAACAATTTACTTTCTTGATGATATGGTACTTTGATTGAAAGGTAGTTATTATTCTTTAGAATTGAACTATTAATTTATATAATGTACATATTGTTAAAATTTATAACATTTCATTTTATTTTATACATAAAATATGATCTGTATTTTTTCAATTAATAGAAATAACTAATACCTCATTATGCAAATAATTGTAAAGAGAAGAAGAAATCCATCTATAGAATAAGAGAAACATTTTTATGTTCGTAAGATTATCTATATTCTTAAAAATGCTTTAACTCTGTAAAAATTAGATAACATTTTGATACATTGTAATATGAATTAACTATTAAATGCAAAATGAGAATTGTACAAATATTAAAAAATTTTTATTATAAAAATATACATTTTATTGTGACGAACTTGTTTTAATGAAATATTTTATTATTTTATTTAATTATGTAATTTCATAATAGTTTTTACTAAACATTGTTGAAGTACAGGACAAATATCTTTGTTAACTGTTATTAAAATTTCTGTTGCTTGTATAATAGATTTTGTATCAATGCTTCCAATTAAAAATACTTCAGATACTTGATTATGCTGTGCAAGACTAGCTAGTGTAATTATTCCATGATTAAAATCATCTTGATTATCTGGTTGTGTATTGCATATTACCTCTTCTGTATCAGTAGGATCCATTAAGTAATAATTATCATATATACCCTATATATTATTGAAATATATTAATATTTAAAAAAACAAATAATAAAAATCAAATATTTATATTCTTAGTTTTTTTAATAATCACTTACTATAGTAGAAGCTGTAACCAAACCAAACATAGGAACACCTGCATTAGCTAAAGCAGTACTAGCAGCCATAATTGCAGCTGCTAATGAAGATCCAGCATTGTCTAAGACCATTGCATATACATCTACTTGAAAATTAGGAAATTCATGCTGAAAAATAACAACTTTTTATACATAATATTAAGAATGATTATCATTAAATAATAGAAATTAATTAAATTATAAAACTATATAATATATTGAATTTGCTTTGAAATATTTTTGTAATTAAATTAATTTTTGAAAAATATATTTCTATTGAAATAATTAATAATTAATATTTATATTAATAATGATTATATATGTAAAAAAATTTATATTATATATATATTTACCAAACATACAGCTGGTTCTAATGCTCTTTGTAAAATTAAACTATATTGTTTTTCCTCTGCATCTTGTTGATGAATTTTTCTTTTTTGACAAGAAAATGGAGCAAATTTGAATTCGCAATAAATTTCTCCCTGTGTGCAATAACCATTCCTATTTGATAATTCTCTAGGATCAAAGACAGAACAAACTACTTTTGTATTTCCTAATTCGATATAGGCAGATCCTTTTGCCTGGCTAACAATACCTGTTTTTAAAACTGTAAAAATAAAACATAAATAATTGCTTTAACAATGTTTAATAATATTTATTATAAGATAAAAAAATTTAATCTTACATATTTTTCTCATTTCACTATTAGCTCGTTTATCATTTCTTATATTAAAATCATGTTTTACTTTGTCACTCTTTTTATTAAGATTAGAATAAATGTAATAAGGTATAGAGATATCTGGACCATTAATTCGTCTTTGATCAATAGGCATTTTAAAAATGGAATATTTTTGTTAAAATATTCTTAATTTTCAATTAATATAATAATTAATTAACCTTAAAAATATGCAATTAATTATAAAATATTTACAATATGTAGTAATAAATTATTATACATTACACGACTTAAGAAGATTCTGTATGAAGTATTGTGCTATGCGCATAAGGGAAATATAAGATACATTGCGCATTGCAGTACACTTCATAACCTTATTTTTACACATTTCGTAAATGATTTAATATATATCAAATATATATCAAAAGATTAATTATCTATAATTTCTTACGTTTTTTTTAAATTTATTATGTTTAATATGTTTATTAATTTATTTTAATTATCGGAAATCATATAATTAATAGCTATGAAAATTCTTATTCTTTCTAAGATCTTTACTGTGTCACATAATTAAAAAAATATTAAAAAGATAAATCTTT